CTATGTGAACTATGGTCTGTATGCAAATGAATTTTTTTTCAAAACATATAGTATGTTATTGCAGAAAGAATATTAATAATTGTCATTCAGTAGCGAGTCTTGTGTACAAATTTTCGAGGCAGATAAAAGACAAAAAAGTATGATATACACAATATCATGGAACATTTCGTAAGTTCTACGATCGATACAATGACCTTACTAAAATATAAAATAGCGCAAAAGGAAGATGCCTCACTGAAACTGATAGTGCATCTACAATGAAACGTGATAACCATGGCCAACCAAATAAGTTTATAAACTTAAAGATGAAAGATGAACTCTGCAACCTGAATGCAATTATTCTATATTCATCGAAATCTTATTTTACTTATTTGTTTTATTAATTATCTGCACTTAGGATTGAAATGCGACATACATGTATATTTTTCTGTTTGAAAATGAAAAGAAAGCAACATACGAAAAAAAACATCCTTGGTGGAAAACAGAGTCATTTCCTTATTGGTAGTTTAATAATTTGATCATCTTTTGTGTAATTGACCAAAAAAAAAAAAAAAAAAAAAAAAAAAAAAAAAAATTGAAAGAAAATTTCTCAGATATTCAATTAATGCCCAAGGGTTTTTTTCAAAATGAATTTCAGATTAAAATTTAAAACTTCATTAGTTTCCACGAAAATAACCAATTTCACAAGAGTTATTCGGGGAATTTCTATACCAAATACACACCATCAAATATTCAAAAGATATATTGCCAAAAGAAACAAACGGTAATTGCAGTAAAGCTTCAATTTATTGAGGATTTGTTTATAAAATAATGGAAACAAAAGATTAATTTCATAATGAAATGGTAAAAGTATTGAATAAAAAATTGTAAATAATTGTAAATATTCTCTTTTCCAAATACGAGTTAGAATTGATAAAGGATCTTTTAGTTTATAACAGATTCGATATCCTACACAGTACTCTAGAGAAAAAACACATTTTAATACCATGGGAGCAAAAATTCAATAAGCCTGGAATATTCTATTTCACAAGAGATATACAGAGAATTTCTAAACCAACTACAGACCATCAAGCTTCAGAAAATAAGTCGCCAAAGGAAACAAACGGTAATTGAAATAAAGCTTCAATTTATTAAGGATTTGGTTACAAAATAATGAAAACAAAAGATTAATTTCATAATGGAATGGTAAAAGGACTGAATGAAAAATTGTAAATAATTCTAAATATTCTCTTTTCCAAATACTAGTTAGTATTCATAAAGTATCTTTTATTGATAACAGATTCGATATCCTAGCATCAATCTAGAGAAAAAACACATTTTAATACCACGGGAGTAATTCTTCAATAAGCCTAGAGCAGAGAATTATACAGATATTGAAATTTGTCAGTCAATGTGGATTAAGCAATCAAGAAGTACTTTTATTTTCTTGCTTTTTCTCTCCGATTATCACCATCCGAACCCCCTGACTTAGAATGAGAAGAATTAATACATTACCATACCAATGTACATACATGTATTTTTACCAGTTTGTATGTTAAAATAGTATGTAATATAATTTCCGATGAATGAGTAAAACTCACAAATATACACTTTGTTTTGAGTGCTTCATTTTATACACAAGAATCTCAAGAAAATGATATAAATTAATTACATTTCAACAAAACATGTTTGCAGAACTTGAAAGTTATTCTGTAAAACACTTGATTAATTTTTTTGGTGCGTGCCAGAAAAGAAAATCAAAATGAATTTTTAAACGAAGCACCATTTTAACATAACTTATTATCTTAATTCCCAAGGATGAGTTGCGTTATAAAGTCTTTGAAATCACATTACCTTGATAGATGACAGTCCAGTTATCTTGTTTCTTCTAAATGCAGATAATGAATTGTATAGAAAAAAATCAATGGATTTCAAGAAGCTTTTTATAGAAAATTATCGAGTTCGACGATGTTGAGATTTCTTTGCATTAAATGTTTTGAAGACACCGACTGATAATTGTTTTTTTCTTCAGGAAAACCAGTTCTATATAATATTATTTGATTGATTGTATGTTGTTAAAGTCCCTCTCGAGAATTTTTCACTCATATGGAGACGCCACTATTTGCCGGTGGAGAGCTACAAATTTTGTCCTATACTCGCACTCAGGGCCGTATATAGTAATTTTTTTCTGAGAATTTTCAAGTCACATTGAGTCGGCACTACGTGACGGTAAACGGCTGCAAATTATGCCTATATTCGGCAATATGAGCCTTTGAGCAATGAGGGTTCTTTTATGCCAACACCTACTGCGACACGAGATCTCACTTCTCATCTCACAGTGAGTTCTTACCCGCGACGTAAGGATCAACTGCTTACTTAACGACTCCAGAGCACTGTAACCTCTGCGCTCTGCATGTAAATCTGAATAATATGAAATTATGCATATTTTCTTCTCTCAGGGGAGAATTAAAACATAGAACAAGATTAGCATTGCAATTTAACATAAACATATTTTATCTTTATTATGCTGGATTTGGCATTTTATAGAATTTTCCCGAACTGTACCGATGTGCCATAGACAAAGAAGAAATTTGTTTTAAAAGTAAATAAGTCATCATCTTAGCATCTGCACTACTTTTCCTACAACTTGTGCATGCATGAATTGATAACTTCGATCGGTACGATTTTATTTTATTTCTAAATGGATTCAGTTGATGACACGGCATATTAAGGGTCATGCCATTGTCTTCAACCAAAGAGTTATTAATTTTCCCGTCATGCTATGTTTTAGTATGTACAGTAATAAACAATCAAATTGATTTATAAAATAATCCTTACTTTGAAGCATTATCAGCACCTAACATGATATACATGCAAAGCCTTTGAATTCAAATATGATTGGAATAATTTTTACCTTTGTTTCAATTATATCTGTCTCTGCTTTTTATTTCACACATAATATACAGTGTATACGACGTATACCCTTACCGGTAAATTGAAGAAATAATTCAAATGAAATCAATGTTCAATTTGATAACTTGATCTAAAAAAGTTAGGTGAAACAAAATAATACAAATACATGCTGACGAATATAGAATCGTTCTAAGTGTAAAATCAATACAGATGTTTTCTCTTGTTGATAAATATGTGCATCATTATAAAATACAAACATAAGAAAACGGGAAAGTCTCTAAAATTAATTCGAATCCATAATTCACACCTTTGAAGCATAGCCCTTATGATTGAAAAAAAAATTGAATGCCCGTGACCTGTTTTTTTGGCGAGTCTCATCTTCTGTAAGTAATATTCCCCTTTTTTTTTTTAATTGGTAAATGATCACAAACATCTCTTAAATACAAACAAATTCAGAGAGATACAAATTGACTGATTAAAGAATTTTCTTTAGTTTGTAATTTTATCATATACCCCGAAATTTTTTTCATCCGAATTTCAGATCAACGAAAATTGGTTGATATAAAAATCAATAACGTAAAAGAAATTTGATGGAAAACATGATATTAGGGGATGTCTTCTTACCATCTATACTGTATCGTATTTCACAGGAAATATAAAGTGTTATAAGATACCATATACACAACATAACTGCAGCAAATCTTTGAAAAACGATTGCCTGCCGACAAAGAGAAACGTGAAAAATGCGGCAAATAATCAATTGAGGATATAGAAAGAATTTTCAAGATAACAAAAAGGTATTTTAAATCTACTGATAATTCTTCTCTATTTAATTATTCAATGATAATTCATGAATAAAAACTTTAAGGTGTAGAATGTTTATGCATTTCTCTCAATAAAATTAAAGCTTAAGGGAATGTATTTTTTTCATTATGAAATAGGATATTCGAGGTGTTAATCTAGAGAAAACAGAAGATGCTTATTACCATGGGAACAAGACATCAATAACAGCCTTAGGACTGCAATATACCGATATTATTCTAATATGCAAGGAAAAATATGTTTTCTCAATAGTCTTTACACTAAGCAAAATGCTAGCACGTTTAGTTAATATACCTGTAGCTCTTGAGTAAAGAAGGTACAGAGCATTTGCCGTTTAGTTTATTGTGAATAAAAATCAATGACAATGAAACATAATGAGATTACGAACAGTTTTCAAGATCAAAAGTCCATAAAAAATACAAAATAGGAGCAGAGCAAACACGGACCTCCGAAACATCAGAGGTGGGATCAGGTGCCACGGAGGAGTGAGCATCCCCTGCCGACCGGTCACACCCGCCGTGTGCTCCTTGTCATGATCGGGAAATAACGGAAAAATCCGACGTTAATTCAGTGTATAAATGGTCTAACAATTAGTATGAAAAACGTGAATCAGCATTTGACTCAAAAAGTGATAAGGTTAAGTATAGTAGCAATACGTGAGGAAAAAAAACCACGTTCGTGTTCAAGTTTTATACTGGCATCAAGGTTGAAAATTTATATTCCAGAAAATTAATCTAAATATCAGTTTTCCCCTCCCCTAAAACCCCAGACAAAATGAGAGAAAAAATAGTTAGTGGTAGAACGCATTTGCTTTAAATATAATAGTGAGATAATTGAAATATTTGTTATTTTGATGCAATTGAAATATATTATACCACTACCCTATTTTGCCACTTAACAAGTTTCAGAAGAAATAAATACGGAACTGACCTTCAACTGTGTATTCTGAGGACTATGTTTGTTCAAGATCTGCTTTCTGTAGAGGTTTAATGAATGCAAGAATAAACGGATGATATCATTTGTTTTAGTTCATTTTCAAGATTTTGATTTTTCATTAAATTTATGCATCATACATTTTATGCTTTTTTTTTACAAACTTAAACAATTGAACAGGTAATATTAATGCTTAGAATAAAATGCAATCTTGTGCCTCAATTAAAATTAAGCTTATATAACTTAGGTTTGTAAAAAATATGTTTTAAAGATATATAAAGTCTCTAACTTTATATCTTTCCCTAATGAATTTACTTAATAAACTTTGAGTATGTTATACAAAATGCTTAAGGGAGTATGGAACTGACGATTTTGAATCCACCGCGCAACTCCAAGTGACGTAAATGAATTTTACGTTTGTATATGTCGTTCAAATCTTTCCATGATTTTTGATTAAATTTTACCATGCAACTTATTTTATAGATATTCTTGATTTAAAATATTATTAATTGTGGCTTGAATATCATTAGAATCGAACCAAAAACAACGCAGTGTAATTTTACGACTTATCTTGCTTATTGTCGTTTTCGGCAATGTAAGCAAAGCGGATGTTTCGGAAAGCATGAAATGCGGAGAAATCTCGGGTTTTCGTCTATCAAATCTATTTAGCCGTACAACAAGGCTTCTTTGACTAAAAGAAAGCGATGGTGAGCTGTGTCATACTGAAATTCTTCTGCCAACAATCACTCGAATGAAGGAATCACGATCGCATCACCATGATCACCCCACCCCACCATGCCCACAACTCTCGTCTGGTCTGCCCAGGTTTGTCTCTAAATTCAACCCATTATTTTTCTTCCGTAATCATGGCATTGCCAATTATTTCTTATATAAATATTCAAACAGGGGTAAAGGGCACTATAGCTATTAATCCGAGATTCCTCTGACTCCATCCCCTGCTTTGAACAATGTTAGAGTCAGAGGAATTTCGGATTATATAACTATATTAATACCACAGTGATTGAGCATACGTGTATCACTATCAGTTGATCTTCACCTACTTCAGTTATACTCTAATCATGTCTATAAATATATCATCTGAGACACTGTTATACATGTAACCCAAACAAGTATCCTGTGTACATCATGCAAGGTGTTGAACAGGTTGGGACCAATGGCCCAAATGGGATATAATAGTCCGTTTGGGATATAATATCCCAAATGGGCTATAAATTTACAGTGCAAAAATTTAAAATTTTTAGTTTGGCTGTAAATATCACAAATCCGCATCAGGGCACTTAAAAAGGAATAACTTTTGGTAAGCAAGTTTTTCTGCAACCCTACTGTTTGTTAGATTGATCCCCAAGAAGTTACGGAACTTCCGAGGGATCAATCTCCTAAACAATGGGCATACAGGAAAACTTGTCAACCAAAAGTTATTCCTTTTTGAGTGTCCTGATGCGGATTTGTGATATATACAGCCAAACTAAAAATTTTAAATTTTTGCACTGTAAATTTATAGCCCATTTGGGATATTATATCCCAAACGGACTAATATATCCCATTTGGGCGATTGGTCCCAACCTGTTGAACACTCGATAGAATTTTTCCCTTCAACATACAGTTCAACATTTCACTAGTCTACACTACAACAAAAGTAATGCACATATACTTCACTCCTAAAATTCTTCTGCATAAAACAGGGGTATTCATGAATTATTGCATTCATGCAATGTTTGTGCCCAAGTTGCTAAAATATGAAGCCTGCATTTTTATGTACATATACAGTAGTTGTATCTGTCATGTATAATAGCAGAAATAGTTACATATTTACCACAGGGACTTGAGCCAGTCTTAGCAAAATCGAATATATACTATACAGTATAATAGGAGAACTAAGACTGTCTCAAGTTCATGTGATATTTAATATAATATGGACTTTTGTGAGGACCACTAACTTTTACACTCGACGGCTTACTTTTAAACTAGGACTAATCCGACAATGTACGCAATCTGTTTTGAAATGAAAATATTTAGGTCAACATTTATTATTTAAAAAAAATCACCGGCAGAAATTATAGCACATATATAGAATCGGACAACCACTCTACCCTCAAATACTGTAAATCATTTTTTATTCGCGAGAACTTTATTTTCGCGTAATTACGCGAGACAGCGTGCTCGCGAAAATTTATTTCTCGCGTATAATAGCATTCCTTAAGATCATATAGAGCAATAACCACAATTCGTGAACATTTTATCTCGCTAATCAAGAGTCAATGACTATCTCGCGAAAATAAGGTGTCGCGAAAATTTAGTGATCTACAGTACTGCCATTCACATATTAGTGCCCCAAACACTATCTATAACCACTAGAAATGCCAAAAAAATTCATGTACACGTATTCTAAGAATAAACATGAAAAATCAATTAATGCTCCTCAGATTTTTACAAATATGAATATTTTTTGAACAGGTATTCCTGTTATTGTGCACACATGATGTCAAGATAAAAGAGAATATAGAACATTTTCTATCTGCTAAATGGAGACTTGAGAAGAGGTACGTTATGGAACTACATGTATAGGGATGGAGCTGACAGATGCTCTATAGGCCAGTCTAAAATATGATGTACCACTGCAGCCCTCTCATGTGGTGTCCTAACATATGGATCATCCGCTATTATTAAGGTACAATTACAATGTTATGTTTATATATTTTATACTTGTCAATTTAAGTGAAAAAATAATTTCTGTTTTCCCAACCAACTCCAGTATATAGCCAACCCTTTTAAAAAATCCTTTATCATCAAAAATATGAATATTCATTTTTTCCATAATATTACCATGCAATTTCCAAATTTAAAAAAACACTATTTTGACATTGGTTTCTTATTTCTTGCAGTGAGCCAGAACATCATATCAGCAATGAGCGGGTAGACCATTTGAACCAATATTTTGTTCCATAAAAACAGGCAGACAAAACTACAGGTTTGAAAATAAATGGAATAAAAATCACTGGACATAATATTAATCCCTATCCCTGTACTACTGAAACTGTGGCATTGTCAACCAACTCCATGTGGAACTATGGATGAAAGATTTGAATGAAAAACTATTTGTGCATTATTCTAAAGGAATTATGGATTCTATTTCAGAATTAAGACTTTTTCAGTTGAAGTTTGATATGAAAAGAGACATTTATCCTCTGTCTATTTGAAATGTCAATGGCATCAATTACGTCTTTGAATGTTGAAGTTTTCCACATACTTTATGTGCAAAATACATTATATAATTTAAATACTTTTGAAAAAAAATAATAATGATTTTATAAAAGTAGAAAAAGACATTTAAAATAAATAGTTTGAAAAAACTCGTCAAATCACATATAAATAATTTTTTCAGTAATGAATTGTTGAATTCACACTTTTCAAAAGTTATGTCCTTTGACCGCCATCTTTGAGGAAAACCCCAAAGAATCCTCACAGTACCCTTTATAGTTTCTGGTTTGTAACTTTGTCATCTGAATGGAAAAAATTATGTGCATCTTGGATAATGATTGCCCTAAGATGGGCCAACTCATATATCAAAAGAAAAAATTAAAACACAGTTGATTTATCTGAGCATGCCCAAAATATTTTGTAGCATAAAGAGGAGAAATGTCATTTCTTTCCCCATTTGACTTTTTGGTTGACCCAGAAAAGGGACATAACTATTGTTAAGTGTGGATTGGATTATAGTCCTTATATTCTCTATTTAGAAAAATTGTCAAAAAATTATAGTCCTTATATTCACTATTTAGAAAAATTGTCAAAAAATTCATTTAGATATAAGCTCCTCAAAAAATACATGTATTTATGGTCATTTCCCAACATTTATTGCTTTGGATTCATTTATAGTGACATAATGAAACAGCTGCAACTTGCAAAAAACATCATGTCACAATATAAAAAAAAAACAATTAAGGCAAGATTTGCTAGCACTACATGTAGGTCAAATTGTAGATATAATTTATTTAAAACAAAATACTATATTCTATCATTTGTTTAGCATAACAATTATTGACTGTTTTCGAGTGACATTGATTATGTTAGCCTCCATGGGATGAAAATATTGTCCTTTGCTCCACGTTGGACAATATTTCAACCCTTGGAGACTAACCATAAAAATAAAGTTGCCCTCAACAGTCAACATCATTCTGTATTTGTTTTAGTTCATAATTATTTTAGTGACACTCGATCAAAGGACTTGTTTTGGTAATTTATTTTTCCAGCTTTATAAGGATGATAATATAAATATTTTTTAAAAATATTGTTTTTACTCTTCACTATATTATACACATGTAGTAAAATACATTGTAGTGTATTGTGGTGGTGTAACTTTTTCCCCAGCTTCAACAGAGTGTCCATGATGTGCGTTGGTTTCATAATATCAGTTATAGACCCTTTTCCTTTGACATTATTTGCCTACGAGTTATTCTCCTTAGCCGCCATCTTGTAGGGCAAAGTAGTTAATTTACCTCTTTGAGCAACCAATTTTAAACATGCATGTAAGAAATATATTGGGGAAAATATGTACAATCTTAAAATTATGAATGAATAGAGGCTTTAACAAACATAGTTTCATAAGAAAAATAGTGTTATCTTTACCTCAGTAACCAGTATACAAAATTGAACTTGGTTGAATAATGAAGGGATCTGGGAATGTTGCCCTAAGATCTGTCGGTTAAGGGAAATAACTCCTACGCAAAATATGTCATAGGAAAGGGGTCTATTGAATCATACATCATCTTTATATGGTACTGGACATAAAAATATTCAAAACAAGACGCAGACTTATTATTAATCATAGTTGTACGTGGAGATACAACCTTTAATCTTATTATAACTAAAGAGTATTCAGAGCATGAGGCAGTGCCAATGTACACTACATGCATTCCGTGATTTCCGTCCTCGCCCGATCACTTTATTTCATCAATTTCACTCAGACGTTAGAAACAATAGCACTTAAAATTCTTTTCTGTTTTTTTAAATAATAATTATTCACGGACAATTGAAAATACCTCCTCTAAGCTGATTTAGCATCGTCAATTTTGAGTTTCAGTTGCAGACTGGAAATAACTTGTACACTGTAATGTACAAAACTAAATCGTGAAATCGGAAGATATCCGGATTGCTCGACAAAGCTCTGACGAAAAGCGCATTATCCACCGTGTTACGAAAGAAATATAGCAACGATGGAAATTTTTTAGTGTTAATAGATAAAGTTGAGTCAATAAAAAACTAAAAGCAAGCATTTTGAAATTGCAAGCTTATTTTTATCACATTTCATAACAACTTCGAGCAGAGGAAATTCGGGTCGAGGAAATTCGAAAGATATTACTCTAAAACTGTACACTGACTTCATAATTTTTTATCATCAATTTGTAAAACATATTAATCCCTGTAAATATTGCATAAGCAATCAAACTTTTAATTATTCCTTAATTGCTTACAATTACATTGTACATATATATTAACCCATTTCCCCAATAAATTGATATTATATAAATAAGTCAAAATAATTTGTCATTTTATATTTTTTCCTTGTACTTTTTTCTTTTAGAAATAAAATTCCATTCCTGGTGATGGCAATATTTTATAGAATAATTATTTTTCTGATGTTTTTATGTGAATTCTGAATTTTTAAAAATTGCTTATAAAAATATCATTTTTTCCAACAGAGTTACTCCCCTTACTTTGGCGTGTTCTATTTTTAGATTTACGCACTAGAACCTTTTCTAATGTATTTTATTAAAATATAGAAAAGTTCTCCTTTCAATCCGTGTATGTGATTCAGAGTTTTAATTACTCTGAAATTAGGACCCGAAAGTCCCATACTCCCTTAACTAAACCTGCTAGCATGTAAAATATGATAACTAATATATATACTGTTGAATAACACATTTTCGTAGGGGTAAATATGTGCGTGTATTAATGGACGACGACCCAGCAAATTCAAGTCCTAAACAAAATGTACTACATGAAATATGAATACCAAGAATAGTAATCAAATTCTCGAATATTGGAGCAGAGCAAACATGACCTATAAAAATTATAGGTGGGATAAGGTGCCATGGATGAGGACCACCATAATGGTATAGTGCTACTTGTACATAAATATGGGAAATTTGCTATAAATTTTTTTAAGTCATCACACAATGTTATTAAGATAAAGTTTTTGTTGTAAAATTGACGAATAAAATTGCATATGGTTCTAGGTCGATCCACAAAATCAAAGCTCTGTGAATTTTAAGTATACAAAAAATATTTGATTTTACAACATATTTTCATGAGGAGCAACAAAATATAATTCCGAATATTATTCTACATTTCGTCAATATTACAATTTATAATATATCAACTGGTTTAATGCTAATAAATAAATATAATTAAAACATAAAGTTATAATTGCTTTTCTTTTTTTCTATTATTGAAGTTATTTAGTTCATTTTTATTTGGTTTGTTGAAATATATTTTTGTGTCCAGGTAAATCATGTATCATACTCGAGGACAAAAATGTAAAAATTCTTCAAATGCGTTGTAGACATTTATCTTCATTATTTGAAAATAATTTATATATCAGAATTAAAAAAAAAATCTTAAAAAATTTCATACACAAACTTCTCGTTTAAAAAATGTAATGGTAAAAGCTGACTTACTTTATAAATGTAACGACACCAATATTCGCGATGTTAACTTTGATAGAATCCCATGACTTCTCTAATAAATTAAGCTGTTCCTCAGAGAGTCTAGGTCCTGCAGCTTCCTTCACTGCAATTTTGTTGTAATTAATGTCACCACAGAGAGGGCTAGTCACTACAGAACCCATGTCATAAGACAATAGAAGAAGATAACACTTTGTTTTCACAATTCACTTTTCTAACGTTGTAATTAACAATCAAAACAATTGTATAATTCCTGTAGCTTATGGAGAATTTAATCTGCCTTTCTATTTTCCATTGTATTGACACTGTCGCTAGGCTGTGTTTGCAACGTACTCACTTTTTCTTGAATTAATATCTTTGGAGGATTAACTAGTATAAATATGACAAATCGCAATTCCGATTAATGACCTCTTTACGTCAAGCAAGTGCTCTTGGGTTTTATTCTTTCGTTATTCACTTTCATAAAAAATGAACAACACTAACACAAAAGAAATTGACCATAAAGACGACCTTTCCTTCTTAATGAGATACTTTCGCTATAGCAACAGCCAATAATCACCATAATAGAAAAGTCATCTGAAAAAATTCAATTTTACATGCATTCTACATGAATTTCTGTTAAATACAATATATGACTGTTAGAAAACCCCCTCTTTTATATGTAAAATGCAATTACTTCTTGGCTTCCTCTAACTAACCAAAAGCATATTAAATTCTCTGTTGGAAATATTCAGAGAATATCATTTTACGTATTTCGTCAGCACGTCAAATCCATACTTTGAGGAGAGAAAATGCAATTTTTCGTCGAAGGAAATCACGAAACCAATTTGTTCCCAGTTATTCTAGTCGTAATAGAGCTCTCAAGCTGTATTAACTAATATATTAACATGTACATATGTAAGCCTCAAGACTTCATGCAATCAACATGATGTCAAGCTTTAATAACCCTGACCATGCTAGTTTATAAAAATTTACAGGTGCAAACTTAAGACTATATATCCTTGGAGATGGCAAGAAACCTAAAATACATCCGTACGGTGACCGTTCAAAGACACATCTATGCAGTATACCGCTTATATTGCGAGAACTTTATTTTTGCTTAGTTACGCGAGACAGACCGTCTCTCATATTTACGCGAAAATCAAGCCAATGCGTACTCCTTCTAGACACCATCTGATCCCAACTCATTTTTCTGAGTTCTGGGATTTTGTGTCGTATTTACATGTTTGTATTGTTTGAAGGTTGTAAGAGATCGATCACTGTTATCTTCACTTTCGTTAAGTCATAAGGCTCTGTCTTTTATGCCAGAAAATTTCGATTACGTATAAAATATAACAGTATTGTGTACGTTTCTCTTTCAGAAAATGTTAATAATGTCCGTAAAATATGTCTACATTGACGGATTCTGTCTTTGTTTCTGAACTAGAGTCTCGAAGTAAGGACTTGATCCTTACGTCGCGGGTTCGAAGCCCACTATGGGACGTAGAGACCGGTCCATCGGATGAGACCGTATAAACCGTGGTCCCGTGTTGCAGTAAGTGCTGGCATGATAAACACCCTCACTACTTAAAGCCGCTTGGTCCGATTCTAATCGCTAAAAATATATATTCGTTTTTCTTCTTGAAAAATAATTGTCCATAAATTGTTTCAACTTTTGTCAAATTATATCCCCAAAGTCTTTTTCTTTTAAAAGATATCAAAATTCAAAAGTTAAAAAAATAATTTTTGTTAGGTCACACAAAAAATAATCCTATGTTGATCATTGTTGATATCGCGTGAAATCACCTTCGAAAAATTAAATTTATCGCTTACATGTTTATCTCATGAAGAACAAACCCGAGCATTTTTTTTTTCACAACAAAGTACATAATATATTACCCGTACACGGACAGTATTTTAGCTCCTTCAAAAAAATCATTTAAAATATCTCATTCTACTTTATTCTTTATATATGCATATTAATATAAAAATTACTATGGATTATATTCAATTAATTTCTTAATTTTGAAAAACTGTATTATCACTAAGGCTTCTACTAATAAAGAAAAAAATACTCGGGTTCGATTTATCTTCATTATTAGATATAACCGATAAATTTATTTTTTTTCAAAATTGACTTCACAACAGATCTTAACTTCCGTCAGGAACTACTGTTTGTCAGTAAGGTTTTTGATTTGCGTTTTCCATGTTAGGATTGTTGTAATAAACTATTAAATCAATCCCATGATTTATTTTTATATATTATCTATGTAATGACGTACTTTTATTGTGTAAGATAATATGTGCCTATTTCGGGTTAAGCGGCTTTAATGGCCGTAAGTGCCGACTATAGGACAAAATTTGCAGCTCTCCACCGGCATATGAATGAAAAATTCTCGAGAAGGACTTAAAACTACATAGAATCAATCAGTCAGTCAGTAGCTCAGGATTGAAATGTGAAGATAACAGTGATTATTCTCAACGGTTCACTGAAAGACTACAAACTATGAGCTGAGACAACAGGGGCGTCTGGAAACAGTATTGGGATCAGGTGCCATGGAGGAGTAAATAACGTTTAAATAATTATTTCAAAGAAAAGGTGATCCATACAAGTAAATCTTAATCAGGTAACTTAACACTGTTCATTTCTTCTGTATTTAGCCATGCAACACTCGATTTTTTCAAGAACGTACATTTTGCAGACAAATTATCAAACCAAAATTAATCTATCTTAGTTATGCAGGAAGCCTAAAACTAAAATGAACACATGTCAAGATAATATTAATCAAATGAAGTGTTGTAAATCATACAGTTCAGACTTTATAAATCAAAGGTGTAACGTACGTTGTTGAGAAGTAATACGTGACAGTCAGCATCAATAAACATATGTATTTTGGTATTAATAATATGAAAAGCGCTCGGAGTATGTTTTCTTGAAAATCATTTCACAGTCAGAATGATAAATGGGTTTTAGTACAGTACTTTACCCTTATTATATACATAATTTATCGTACTATGTACCATCATCATTTAACCAAAACACTCCATATAAAAATACATGCTCCCTTAACAGAGAAAAACTACTGCAAAGTAATTGTGCCATCTACATTGTTTTGAATTGATGCATTCTGGTCAGCAATGATCTTCTCCATTATTTTATTTCCTTAACATCAATGAAGGCTGATCATCCATTTCATTTTTCTAGAAATTCATTCCAATGTCATATGATGTACATCAAACAGTGCTGGTGTCATATAAACTGTTTTAGAATCATGTAACATTTTAATATTGATTGTCGTGTCACTGTAATGCAAGGATATCTGTGTTGGGAATTGCAAGCTGTCTGTGATTTATATTGTTTTAATGATCATTTCACCTCAGCAAAAATTTATTTGAAAAATTACAATTCATCTATAAAATCAAATTACAATAAAAGCATTGTTAATAAACGCGCCACTCTTCACTCTCAAAATCATCCATAATCATTCAGAAATTTCTGTAAACTCTGACGTACCTATTTCTCTGAAAAGATAAAAAATAAGGTGTTAATTAAACAAAATAATATTCTAGGTACTAATTCAATTATAAAATCGGTATGTAGCATAAACAGATCACCTGAATTGGTCTGCGAATTCCTATCATTTTAAGAGGGTCTTTGTGGGAATCCTCAACTTCTTGTAATCTCTTAAAAGCCTAGAGAAAAAGAAAAAACATGAAATATTAATGCATTGATTTTATGTTGATTTCTTTATTCATATAAATACTCCATGCATTATGCAATCGCTAGCTAGTGCATTTGTTCAGCCCAACAAAGCCAGTATTCACCAAGTTCAATAACTTATATTATAGTATTTTCACATGTTATATTGGTGTTAAAAAATGGACGCAAAAAATAATAAGGATAATATGATTAGTTTGCTTTTTATACCAGGTAGATCATAAAAAATGAAATGGTTCAACAACTTAAAAATAAGAAATACATGTAATACCTTTAATCAAAATTGATGCATGTTTGTTAAAGATTAACTTCCTCTTCTAAAGAATAAAGCAGCGTCGAAAACATTCAAATTTTGAACACGATATATTTTTTAAGGATTCATGAATATTTTTTTTTATTTCATGGCTCCGGTTCTTATTCCACCCACCTTCTTTGTCACCATTACAGGACATTTGAAGACAATCCATTGAACAGTTTCGTAACACGGCGGTGTCGTTAAAGATCCAGCGTACGTGTAGAATCTCTGATCATATGGAAGGACATCTGCTGGAGAGATCCCGCACTCTACATTCACCATGTCATCATGGTGGGCCTCTTTTTTAAAACAGTTGTTGTTGATGTAATTATAACTAGGTGTTCTTCCACACTGAAGATCTGAAAGAAAAAATAGTCAGTTGGTTTTATCAACCAAAAAATAATTTGCAGAATCTATTAGAGGGATTCAGTCCAAAAACAGTGATTGTCTGAAATCTAGTTTTATTGGTATCAATCATAGATACATGTATGCTCAATTAATTATTTTGATTTTTTTAATCCACACCAAAGAAAGAACAACTTACCATCAGGGGGTGAATCCGCACCAGCAGTATCAGGTTCAACTGCATTGTGTTTTCTAATCTTTTTGTAGTACTTCTCCATTATTTTACTTAATGTCCTAGCAAACCGCACTCTGCATTCACCATGCTGTATATAAGTAAAAAAGTATATGAAGTATATATCCTTGGGAAGTTACGAATGTGTCCCATATTTTTCTCGTAAATGTATATAAATATACATGTATCAATGAAAATCAATAAAACATGTTTAAGAAATGAAAAAGAAGGAAAAGCAACATTTTTACGTGTATATACCCGAATTCTTTATATTGACAGTATTTTAACACCAGTCACATTTTCAAAAAAAAAAAAAACAACGGCTGAGGGTTTTTGTGGCAAAAATAGAATTCTTCTGGCGACAGTCGGCAGTTCATTGTGCATTGTCATCTACGATTTTGACATCCTTGATCGTTGACCGACCAATTCTGTGTCCATGTGGCCAAGTTACATATGTATATTGTTTTCTGCGTCGGAGGTCGATTCATTAAATAAAACTCATTCGATAAATCTTCAACCATCGTCCTATCATCACAAGACAGCTTGTTAAGTCAGTTGTCGGTCGGTCAATATTTAAGAATTCAATATAGGGATTTAATAAATATCGGCCAATTATGAAAATCAAACTGGAATTCAGCGAACGATGATAGGGTGATTGTTGGCCGACATATGAATATTATGAAGTTTATACCTTGGTCACATTTAAGCCGATGGTCGGGTGAATATTTTTTTTCTCGAATCGTCTTCTGAAAAAAACCATGATCGGCTGACGACAGTTTCGGGCTTAGCGGTACAGTCATATTTTTTCCTAGGCACACCGATGATTTTAAAAATGTAAATACGTAATTTTAAGTCGGCCAATCGTCGCTTGATCGTCAAGCGCTGGGCTGCAGTTTGATTTCCTTCGTCGGCCGACATTTACGAAAACACATTGCTTAAATGTAGACCGACAGACAATGGATTTAAGAAACTATTTATGGATGGTCGGTCGATACTCGATTGGACGATGGACTATTCGATGACAGCTTCAATTAAAGAAATTGGCCATCGATGCAGAAAAAAAATATATATAACTGGAACTGACGGACATAAATTAAGTCAGCCGATGAAATAAGAGGTAGTGGAACTGCTGACGTAGCTCTATGAAAACCCAATTTTACATAAAAATCCGTTGGTCTTAGGTTGTTTTTGGAAACTTGGGCTTAAAGGGCATCAGTTTTTATCAGATTCAGATTACTTTCTCTGCGTCAATCTAGACTATTTATTCGGCCTATTCCTTTTTTTAGCCATCGACATAAACATTTTGGTCGCCCGACCATTGTCAAATATATGACTATAGGTATAAGTTTTCAAAAGTTCATTTTGAATTCACAAAATGGTTGTTTATTAGGAACCAGTAAGTCATAAATTTGTTTTGATTATTGGAACATAGTTTTGAACAATTTGGAGTACCATGGTTAGATACCATTTTGGAACAGTTAGAAACATTTGGGTAATCATAGCAATAGAAAATAGAGGAAAGATGGTTCTAAAAGAATCAGATCCTATAATGTAAGTATTCCGAATAAAAAACTCTATCAGAGATTAAGTTAAGCCATGTTCAATAATGCATTTACATAGCATTTGGAAGTTGAATTTTAAAGGAAAAGAAAGGATGAGTGCACTTAAGCTATTAGAGTTAGATCCCGGTGTTTTCCGCAAAATAAAATCATGAATTTCATTAAATTCATGTTTTATAGGTATTAAACTATGTCTTAAGAGCAGGTTTTGTTGTATTATATTACATGAAAGTACTAAATAATGCCGAGCGACACTAGCTTTTGAGGCGGGGGTCTAACAGTTTTGTCACATTTCTATTGTCATTCATATGCATACGAGTTTTCAACGGCATTGTTTACATCGAGCCGCAACTTCGCCGTTGGTCTCATTACAGAAGGTGCATTTTAATCTAAACTTATGCATATTCAAAGGACAATGTTGGCCAAGTTTCGGCTCAAATCTAATTTAAAAAAAAAAGTCTCTAAACTGCTGTCGAGTTCGCCAATAAATTAGCAAATTCCCGAGTGTCAACAATTGATATTATAATCACTTTACTCACGTGACATTCCACGGCTCGATACGCCAACGCTTTCATTGAACAATTTATTGTGTTTATCATTTGAAATTTCTATTCAGACAGTATCTATCGTACTTCCAACTTCAAACTATGGAAGATTTTTGCGCAATTTTTAATAAGGTTCGAAGATTATATGTCTCTAATTTTACTGTGTATTTTCCGTTAAGAGGAGTGTTTTGAAAGAATTCTGGAATTGGAAGGGAGATTATAGTAAACATAGGCCGATGTCTCTTCTGTATAATGGTCTGTAGGGCGATATATTTTTCTCGCATAATTACCAGTGTTAGATTGACTTGTCCGGTGTGAGACAGCAGTGTGAGATTTTTCTGTCTTACACCGAGTATTACTACGCCGCGAACGATAACGTTAACCTTCCGTCTTAATATAAAGAAATTGTAATAATGTTAAAAAATATCACATATAATTAAAATGTTGTCATTTAACTTATTAAAATAAACTTATTTTCATTCAAAATATTGTCGTATTTTCACTTTTTAAAATGCACTATATTTAGATCGCGGAAGAATTCTAGAATGAATGTTTACGCTATCGGATAGATAAGTTTTTTTTATTCCCAGTTTTAATCTATCTAATTAATTTACATGGACTGAAATTCATTTTATTAGTTTACACTACCTGTAAACCATTTTCAGGTACGCTTTCTCCGATGGTGTATTTAGATTTTTGATTAGATGGAAAATTAAAAAAATATTTTTTTTAGCCCTATGGCGACGCCATTGACAGGCCGTTATTTTGGATAAAATAATGCGAGAAAAATAATCATTCATTACTTACTAAAATACATGTATGTGGGAATTCTTTATTATGTGTAAGATTCTTTTTATATGGAATATTTATCACACTGTAATGATGATTTTATAACCTCATAAATTTTTCATTTCACATGCTGAATACTATCATTTAGAAAAGTACATGTATCTCGGCAAAGCCTCGTCCTAGACTGTGCGAGAGACATAACCACTGTCGCTTTACTCAGTGGAATTTGCAGAACTGAAGTCACACACATGTATATATTCAATGAATGATTCTATTAATCCCATTCCTAAACACTGGAATCATTTATTATTTGTGCACCATGAAACTACACAATCTCTCTCTTCACCATTTCAATTCGTAGCGTAGCATCTGATTGCGAAAAAAAGCATATGTGCTATTGTTTACATTCCACATCCATGCGATTTAAATGTCTCCGCCTATTTGTGGGTATCTTAAATTCGATAGAGCGATTAAAATACACCTTCTGTGCAAATGAGACCAATGGCCAAGTTGCGGCTCGATGTAAACAATGTCGTTGAAATCTGGTATGCATATGAATGACAATAGAAATGTGACAAAACTGTTAGACCCCCGCCTCAAAAGCTAGTGTCGCTCGGCATTATTTAGTACTTTCATGTAATATAATACAACAAAACCTGCTCTTAAGACATAGTTTAATACCTAGAAAGCATAAATTTAATGAAATTCATGATTTTATTTTGCGCAAAATACCGGGATCCAACTCTCATAGCTTACCGGAATTTAAGGCTAATACATGTTCTTTTCAATGGCATTGTCTGTAATTACAGAAATATGTATAACAAAAAATTCAAGGCATAAATATCAAAAGCATTTGCTTGCACAATAATTATAAATTAATTTAGCGATATATTGTAATGCAAAGATTAAAATGGGTAGCCGAAAAGGTTCCAAATGAGCACTCATTCTTTAGGGCTGATAGAGGATTTAAAAAAAGACATAAGTAACAATGTTGGTTTTGCAATTGTTTGTTCATACCCCTCTGTAGAGTCTTCCTCTGAAATAACCATGGTCTTCGTCGCCATTTTCTGAAGGACAGCCAAGATTTCTTCTTCTCTGTAACATTCAAAGTAAGTAACATTGTAATACATCACTTTCTTTAATGATAATCTCATAAAAAGAAGGTTGGAACAGAAAGAAATATATAAGTATTTGACGCGATCGATCATTCAATGCACTGCAAATTTGTAGTCTGACCTAAATTTATATAAGAGGTTAAGGATGAAAATTTCAGAAAACGTCTTGCAAAGCCTATACTTGTGCTCCAAAGTCGTTGCACATGGTTTTATATCTTTGAACGTTGTGCTTTATTTAACATAACTAGAAACACAACCAAACATAAAATTAACCTCTCCATTATCATTGTAACCATTGTCGTCATCCTCATCAGATTCGTCAGAATCATCAGAATCGTCAGAATCCTCACCCCCTCTCCTGTCAGGCTTTAATTGAAAAAAAAATGCATTAAAATTATGTCAATAAATTAATTGGAATAAAAAAGAGAAAATGACATTTTTTGTATGCTAACCTATAATATATTGACAGGTCGGAATAAAAAAAAAATACCTCCAACATAACGCCCAAAACAACCAAACCGTCGGGGGCAAACTTTGCATGGCCTATGTCTGAATACATACTGTCGTAAAATACCATGTGAGCCTGAAATTACACGGTTACCACTTATTATGAAAAATATCAAAAGACGAAAATTGTGATCATTTATATATCTATTAAACTTTATCTTTAATAATGACAAATCATACAACATGTACAAGTGTATTCAAAAGGAAAAATGTGATGGAAATGGAAAAAAATAGTTCACCACTTATAACACAAACCAACAATATTGATAAAATATTTTTCCAATACTTTGATTTACAGCATCTAAACATGTTCTTACGACATTAATTAACACGAAATATTAAGAACTGAAGTTGTCCTCAGGGGACATGAATCCATTTTGAGAACAGAGGAACGAGTGTATATTTGCTCACATGTGCAATCAAACAGTTAGCATTTATACAAATTCGAAAACGGTAATCTTTTCTGTTGAAATAGTCTGTCCGTCTCATTATTTATTCTTTCACATCCTTAAAGCGTAATTAAAAATAACTTAAGAACATCTGATTGGACAAAAATATTTACAACATAACCCTTATGATGAGGAACTTGAGAGTAAAAGGTTGAAGATATCGAACAGAGATCCATCTAAAATCAATAAACAATACGAATACGGGTACATGTATTTTGCGAGGATATTATACACGCACTCTTAGAAATTCGAGAGTGGGATCAGGTTCCTACGAGGAGTAAGCATCCCCTCCTGTTGACGGGTCACATTCACCTTCAGTCGTTTGCATTGATCAGGTTGAGGAACTTGAGAGTTTGACCTTTAATGTTTACTTGAAGGTTTATTTCTGGATATATTTTACCTCCATAGGGTAGAATCTGTCGTTAATTGAGTGTTCTGACCCCTTATCCTCGTCATGACCGAGATGCACGTGCAGTTGGGCAAAGATGTACCTCTTGTAACTGGGCCTTCCTGGGACACGGGTCAGAATGATATTGTTATCATCATCACTGGTGTCCACGTTGACATCAAAATGTGGAGAATGCCCTGTTAATTAATTAGATTCTTTTAATAGAAAAATTTTGCTTTTGTCAGATGTTGCCACTCCACTCAATACATTCAGTCGGATACATATTTTTATCTTTCCGAGATTTAAAATACTGGATATTTTGAGAAATTCAAGATATCTTATTCAATCCATTTCACTTACAGTATCAACAACTTGAAGATAAAATGTCACTTTTTTTAATATTCAATCACCGGAATGTTAGCTCATTCGGTAGAATACTAGCTCTGTGATCGAAAAGTTGTGGTTTCAAACCTCGATAGTGACTGATCTGACTTGATAAAATTTATGTAGCAATTGTTCTTTTACCCAGCACCAAATGAAAACTTGCGGGGATTAGACCAATTTGCAGCAAATAATGGCCGTTTGAATACGCGTAAACATAAAGGTTTTAAAAATTGTACTATTTTTTCCGCACTGCAAATATTTTCCTTATGTATTGAGTCAATTATATATCCAAAAATCTCTTACAGTGGGCATAACCAATTATTTTTAGACCGTTCAGCTACACAATAATTTTCTTAAAAATATAGATAAAATTAAATTTTCGATATTTCTATATATTAAATATTAATAATTAGTTAAGATATTTAATCATTTTGATTAGAAATAAATGTCACCCATATTATCAACTTCTCAGGTTACTTGTTTCAGACAGTCTAAGGGTTGTAAACATCAAATTTGACATCCCGGAAATATATAAACAATGTCCTGGAATGTAATCTTAGCCAGGTCAAAAAGTCAACTCAGTTTCATATTAATGTATTCATAGAAAAGGCATCCAAAAGAAATTATAAATTGTGTCCTTATCTTTGATTTTTAAATAAATTCCTTTTAGAGTCCTAGCATATACATTGCTTTTAAACATTTTTCAAATTGTATACACTAAACATTTGTCGAAAAAAATCATTCATGCTAAAATGAATAATTATGTACGTATCGATCGACATGTTGCAATAAAATTATACTAAAACAAACATCACAATGTCATTATTCTATAACGCAACTCCCCCTCTCATGCTTGGTAAATTATATTTGATTATAACACGAACATGTATCATAAATTACCATTGTTGAAGATTTCTGCGTTGGCTCTCTGGTTGAGGTTTTTAAGCTCTAGATTCCTGAAATATCTCCGTTCTGTTCTGTGGGAGTTGATGTTGATAGGCGATTGTCTTCTATCTGAGCCACAAGTCGTCCAACATTTGTTAACTGAACACCAATCCCTTGGACCTAGTATTGAGGAAACGGAAGGGATTACAAATCTTTCAAATGATGTCACACAGATTTATATTTATCAATTAATTAGCTGAACACCTTTGACATACTATCATGCTTGTCTTCATAAAAAGAAAAAAAAAGCCATATACGCCCGACGTCCTTAACAAAAGGTGCATGGTAATTTACACCTACATGTAAATATTTTGTATCAATTTTCTATCTAGAAACAGCATGCCTTTATGTTCTTAAAAAAATCTCAACATGTTTATTTGTGAAAATAATTTTTATTATAATAAAATGTATTGGCGGGAATTATTCAGTTCTTGGAATTAGATAAAAAATACATTAATAATTCCAAGAAGAAGTACTTTCCGAATTTTTAAAAAGAAAATTATAAAAACGATATATAATACTTTACCTTTTTGAATAATAGTAATTGATTAATTGAATAATAAAAATTAATATTAACTTAAAACAAACTACACTGTCAATATTTGATTTTTCATTGTTACGGGAATAAATGATTGGAAGAGATAAAACATGATTAAGCTGATCTTCAGATGATATTTTCAGAACGGATAAATTCATGTCCGACAATTTAACTTCTTAGCAGGACTTTTACTTTCAACGTGAATTAAAATCAGCAAAACTGAGCTTCAATACCTTTTGATTAAACAAAGAGAATTGCTTTTTGCTAGAAATGTCATAACTTGTTTTGTGTTTAATTATTTTTGTCAAGAGATACATCGGAAGTTATATAAAAATGTACAGTGGGAACATACATATTGTTTACCACCAGTTCTTCTGTGTACAAGGAATTGCCTTGTTTATTACATAATGGTAGTTACTAATATTACACATTTAAAATGCATGTTGATCTTGTAATTCGAACCCTAGATTAAAGGCCCCTTCCCGACATCACATGTTATATGCAGAACTCCAATTAACGAAGTGTTAAGGGGAATGACACGTTTCTTAAGTGTATTTACCTGTTGTGAAATGACCATTTTATAACTTTGATTATTTTGGTATCATAAACACATGCAAAGATGTCATAATATGGAGGATTTATAAAGATGTATGATTCGACTCTTTTATCCTCTAATAGACATGTTTGTCAAAAACATTTTAATGGAACATTGACATGAAAAAAGTTGGTTTGATTCTTCTGCAATTTTTCAACATTGTATTATTCTTTTACATGCGAAACTAAACAAATTAAATAAGGAAAATGACTTTGTTAATTATTTTTCAAACAACAGAGGTTTAATCACGCTAAATATGACATATAGACTCAGTAATTATGTACGCGAATTACTATTTTAATGAACTTCTATATATTTATGATACAAAACATTTATTATACAAAACATTGATAATACAAAATTTAACTCATTAATAATGAAATATAAGTCTTTTAAAAATTGGCTGTGTAAGGGCACAGTAGTAAATAAATATGTTTACTATTTTTTAGAGTAAGAAAGTCTTTTTCTGCAGTAGGAATATAGTGGAAAAGTGAGGCTGAGATTGAAAGTGAGCTCGTCTAAGTTTTTTGGCCCCGGAGCATGATTCTTGTTAGTCTTAACACAAAATACATATGAAAGCCCGAAAAAGTTTAAATTAATTTTGAAAAGTAAATTTGCTTATAGCTTTAAAAATTCTTCAATATAATTTTCAAGTGTTATCTAACAAATTCACTTACCTTCGCAAGATCCCATTTCGTAGCTGAAATGGGCGGCATTAATGTCCTCATAGTAACATGCGCCTTGGGAGGGGGGTCTTTTGCCAATGTATCCAACACAGTATACCGTTCCTACGAAACACAAAGCCAAAACTACCACCTGCCCGAAGCCTGACATGGTCTTGAGTGAGATGGTGACACCCAGCAAACCTTATATAGTTCCTATCGTGTATTGTACATTGTCTATACTGGAAACCCTTGTCCACTCATAGAATTTATATGAAAGACGAGGACAATGTATCTATGTCATAATAAACAGGTTATGACCCCAGCAGAAATTGTTAAGGATTAGGTACGAAAGTGTACATTGTAATTAAAAAAGGCATGTTGAGAGTTCTTTTTTTCTTTACAATGCATAATATGCATATACAATGATTTTAAATGTATGTTTCCACTTTAGATCTATGGTAAGAAACAGTCTTTAAGCGCATATTCCCCGGTTAGTTCTTTAAACTTACTAAAAATGAGAAAAGTCATGAAATAATGATCATAAAAAATAATTAATATATGAGATCCTGTTATTTTCTTGTAAAAATAAAGAACATTTTTGCAATAGTCGATATAGTTTCATATTTTCTTAAAGTACCTATGCTTCAAAAATAGGAAGTGTTCAAAGGATTATAAAAGTGTGACCTTTTAATGCAGTGAAGTGGATCACTGTCATTCAATCTTATCCTGATTTTTCAATAAATATTGAATTTGGAAGGAAAAATTAGCATAGACCAAAAAAAAAAAATTAAAATGTATTTAGTAATTGAATATATATGATCAATTTATCTGAAACTTGCATCTATTAAATTCAAGATCTCCTATAAAAATTAAATTCTAAAAATAAATAATCAATTTGCTGACACAATGTTCGCAATAAATGAACTATCGTTCTCTTCAGATGATAAAATATCAACAATTATCAATTTATTAATAATGATAAAATATCAACAAATTATCAAATTTATCAACAATCAAGTAATGCAAACAATGATTCATCTAAAGAATAAAATACTTCGATGGATGTGCGCAATCATTGAACCATGTTGCTTTAAAAAATTGAAGTGAGCGCACAAATTTTATGCATTTAAAATATACGTAAATAAGCAATAAGATTTATTGATATATATATTTCTCACAATACATTTAAAATAAGTTAATGATTGAAAATAGAAAGTATCATTACGATAATTTACCAGGGGTTGGTAAGAAATTTAATTCACTATGTTAATTAAATGATATAAAAAGATAAATTCATTTTCCCTTATTGCAAGAGTTTTTTGTCTTAAAATTACAAACATGTTAAAGGTTACTACTCCCTAAAGCCGAATGGTTTTAAAGTATTACAGTCATTTCATTAAACGATTATATAAATACAATTTTTTTTTCAAAGTTAATTCATGTATACGAGGGCTGTTCAATAAATAATGTCCTGAACTATATGACATACATTACAGATATCGTATGACATTAAACTTGACTTTCTCTCATTATTGAATCTTTCGTGAATTTATAACAGTTTATGTGACCACCTTTAATCACATAGTTTCATCATGAGAAGCTGGGAAACAAGGGCTTTTCGAGACACTGCATTATAAATGAATGGTAAAGAATCAGTAAACAAGAGTGAAAATAAAAGCTTCATTAAAGCTGCCGTAAAACTTGATAAAAATCCCAAAGAAATATTAACTGAAATATGTGACATTTAGAGTAATCAATGCCTGTTTTATAGACAAAAGAGCAGGTGGATTTCAATGATAAAAATTTTATAATGGGCATCAAAAATGGGTACCCTCCTTGCCAACAAAAATTATAACAACTCATGTACTGTTCGCCAAATTTCAACAAATAATATTTGATGTTGTATGATTGACTTCAAGACACATAGCAAATTTGATAGACATCACATCGGGGGTAGTTTACACTGTATTTAAGAAACGTTTGGCGGTAAAAAAGCTTGATACTCAAAGGTCACCCTATATTTTGAAAAATGAGTGAAAATGACAGTGTGTACGAAATTCTTCACAATTATTTTAAAATATCAGTAATTGTAGTTATCCACGTTTGTTTTATTTTCAAACAGATATTGGAACATGAATCTATCGCTTAAAACCCTCAAAACAAAATTTACCATTAAGATGTACTTGATAAAAACGGCAAATGTCTAAAAAGTGCTCAGGTATGCAAGAGCACAAAGACAGATTTATATGTAATTTTCGTAAAAAGTAGTGGTTATGTTGTTCAAAATCGTATTTGGAGAGACAGTTAAATTTCTGGAGGAGTCAAATTTTTTGGCAAAAAAATCAAAAGGTTTATTAGAGGAAGGACAGAATCAATCCACTACACTGAATTTCTTCATGCCCTGAAGAGTAAAGGGGTTTTCGGAATGAACAGAAAAATAATGTTCTTTCCCATTAACAATATTTGCAAGATCTTTGACCTCTTGACTTGTTTCAATTTCCAAACTTGGAAAAAAATACCTTTTAGAAGGAAGAAACAAGTCAAGGAAATCATTGGATCTGCCATTTTCCAGTATACTGAGGGACATACCCAAATATGAGTTCTACATACAATCAGATATTGGATAAAAAATGTTACGGACATGTATTTTACTTAAAAGAGATTAATTAATAAAATTATGAAGAATAAATAATTGAAAAGCGTCTTTTACTTCTTTCTGAGCACCGAGGACATTATTTATTGAACAGCCCTCGTAGTCTTTGAAAACAAACTACGTACGTTAAGAATGTGAGGAAAATTTTGCATATTATTGTATGGATTGTAAAACCTATGAATTCCACGAATTAGAGGTATAAACTGAACTAGTAACCTAGTGGTCAGAAAGCAGCACAGGGGCTGAACACTTGTGGCTGACCTCATTTATTTATTCAAAGGAAATAAAGGAGACAGCTAAGTGACATTCAATGAATGTGAAAGAACATCAAATGACACAACAATATCCTCATCTTAAGGTTAGAACTTTCCTGCTTAATGTATAGGTTAGATATAAGATTTTTCACTGTAATATACTAAACAGTATTCCCGTTCGTCATCATTGGCTTAAAAATAGAAAGAAGATATTTAATTTGAAAAATTTTCATGCATGTAATCTCAAACAAAATGAATACATGTATGTATGGGGGTTTTTTTTATCTTAAAAAAAAAACAACGATCTTTAGCTCTTCCTTTAAACCGTTGGCAAGACCTCAGATGTATAATTAAAACCTCTAAAAAATCATAATTCTTTTAAAATGAAAATAATTTCGTAAAAATATAAATCCGTGACATTCCCTCAGTTGTTTAAACAAATGTGAAAAATAGCATTGTTATCTTAAAATTCGATTTTAAAATCAAAGGTATTAATGTCAGCAAATTAAAATTCAATGTACATATAGTGTAAGGCAGAAGAAAGTTTGATAAATCTATAGCCACTGGGGCCAACATTGACCCACACGTTGTCCAGTTTTTCTATGTCACAAAATGCAGTAAATTACCCCTTTTGAGGTCAACACGGTGAAAAAATCCCCTAGATCTGGCCCACAAGGTAATGTGACCTAACCGTGTAACTACCAGAGAGCTAAAAAGTGCCACCAATTGAAATCATAAAGAAACATATCTATTGCGCACAAAAAAGTTCTGCTTCTCGATTTATTTCTCCACATACGAGTAGTGTAAACTGAAATGATATAATATTACAAATTGTGTGTTCCTTACATATCCTTTTACTACTTTCACAATAAAAAAATACCTTAAATACCTACCGGACTTTTAATTTGAGACTATGAAAAAATTCCCATTTTATACTGCCTTCTTAGGTGGCATGACAACTCAAACAAAGGCGATTTTTACATGACTTGTACGTATAGTTTTGTTGAGGAAGTGGTAAAAGAATATTTTTAGGAACATATTGTGTTTGTATATATACTGAAAGGAAAAAGAAACGCATAATAGCATAATATCGAAATATATTTAACTATATGGCCGAAAATTATGAAAATTTGTCAAATGTGTATTTTGATTACTGTGCACTAAAATTGCTGGTCAAAATTACTCAACCATGAAATGTATGGCGTCACGTAGGGGAAATGATAAAAAGCCAAAAACACGTGCATGTTGATGATGACAATTTTATGATCACATTTTGTGGTGCTAATCGATGCATTGGAGTTATAGACATCGTTTTCCGCATTTGAAATCAGTATAAATTTCATGCAATCATGGTATGGCTGACGGAAGTTACACTGGTTCCAGTAACTGAATTGCGTAAGTGAATAAAAAGGCAACAAGATGTTGCTGTGCAGTTTGTTTTAAACTTTTCAACAAAAAAAGGTTTTTCAGTTGTCAGAGAGTAAATTAAAAGGTTTCCAACCAACGATGGCGGTGACGTTGACGCGTAACAACGTCACATCAAGACAGGGCTTTTCATCATGTCACCTCGGTTGTTGTCAAGGTGTTATCACTGAAACCAATATTTATACGGCAAACTATCATACCAATATTTTCACCTTAAAATTGACAGAAATTCTCTGCTCTAATTTGGTCCGCGCGTTTGGCAACTTTTACGTCGATTTTACTCTCACGCGCGCACGTACGCGTCGTGTGCGTAATGTTTTTAGCATGTTCACACTCGGAAAATGTAGCCAGTGTTTGTCGAGACTTTCTCACAAACATACGTGTACCAAACCAGCTTTCTGTAAATTCTATCCTAAAATGAAAATTCGTGGCACTCATTTGGCGGGGGGATTTGTTGGCTTTGGAATAATACAGCTTCTATCAACCATTAAGACTATTGTCGGATTGAATAATAATCAAATGAGAAAGATAAATGCTCTGGTGAACTCAATGCACAGGAAAATCAAGGCTGTTAAAAATGTGCAAGGGAGATGATGAGAATTTTTATTTTAATTTTGGGGGGTATCGACATATCAATTTCAATAACTCAGGAATTATCAGTCAAAGTCACACAAGATTTTGGTAACTTGTAGATTAAAGATGAATTAAAATGTTTGATAACAATACTGGAAAACATTTTCGAAAAAATAGTTTTAGTTTAATTTAAAAGTAAAATATGCGTTTCTTTTTCCTTTCAGTATATATGGAGAAATAATTTGAGAAACCATGCGCTTTTTATCGATATAAATATAAAATATGTACAATGGGTGTTACTGTAGGGCTCTGGTCGTCTTCAGTACAAATCTGCAGCTAAATAATAGATCGTGTATGTGTTGACCATTAGAAATACACTATACATCATTTTGCGTTATGTTGGTAAAAATATAGCCCAAAAATGGTGACAGTGACAATAGATAAGTAGCAAAAAATTCACAATAAAACTAAAAATACACTATCATAGCTATCATAAAGATATTAATAAACAAATGCCTGAAAAAGACAGATGCACATACGATGAATTTAAATTAGGGCTGCATGTAAAGGAACATGTAATGTAATATACATGCAGTTGCTGATGCTGTGACATCAGATTAAATACAGCGCTACAAGTGATCAAAGAGCAAACAAGATACTTCTAAAAAAAAGACTGTAGACAAAAAATTAAGGTGTGTGTGGTAAAGATGATTTATGATGAATAAGGCGTTCAAAGATTCAATGTGTGCAGTTTTGTTAGGTATAGGTCTACTCTTTTAGCTTGCTGAGTTGTATACATTGTATTATAATCTGGGAGTGTCTTTCCCAATTAACTTACAATAAAGATTATTATCATAAATTTAAACTTATGAGACACTAGTAAACGATATATTCATTCTTTCTCCAAAGGAAGTTTTACAATAACAAGGCGAAGTTAATGATGAACAAAGATACATGTAAATACCTGTATGTGCACTTACATGTACAGGTTAAATATATTTTAAAATTTTGGTAATACTTGAATTATTCTCAATATCTATTTAGGTTGATTAATTTGAATATTATGTCCAAAGGGGATTCAAATTTATTCAAATGAAGGGTCATGCCCTTTTCTAAGGTGAGATAATTATGAATATGGGAAAAATCAATGGCATTTAAAAAAAAATCTTCTCAAGAACCATTGTGACAGGAAAGATGAAACTCATGTGAAATCATCCTCAGGTGGTGTAGATTTATGTTTGTTCAAATCAAGACCCCCGGGGGTAGAATGGGGCCACACTGGCCGATCAAATTTTTACAAAGAAATATATAGGAAAAATCTCTAAAAATCTTTTTCTCAAGATCCACAGGGACAGGAAAGATGAAACTCATGTTGAATCATCCCCAGGTAGTGTAGATTCAAGTTTGTTTAAAACAAGGCCCCCGGTTGTAGGGTGGGGCCACAATGGCCGATCAAATTTTTACATAGGAATATATAGGAAAAATCTTTAAAAATCTTCTTCTCAAGAACCATTAGGACAGGAAAAATAAGACTCATGTTGAATCATCCTCAGGTAGTGTACATTCAAGTTTATTCAAATCATGACACCCAGGGATAGAGTGGGGCCACACTTGTCGATCAAAATTTTACATAGGAATATATAGGAAAAATCTTTAAATATCTTCTCAAGATCCATAGCCCATAGGGATAGGAAAGATGAAACTCATGTTGAATCATCCTCAGGTAGTGTACATTTAAGTTTGTTTAAATCATGACCCAAGGGGTAGGGTGGGGCCACAATGGCCGAACAATGTTTTGCATAAGAATATATCTGAAAAATCTTTAAAAATCTTCTTCTCAAGATTCATAAGGACAGGAAAAATGAAACTCATGTTGAATCATCCTCAGGTAGTGTACATTCAAGTTTGTTCAAATCATTACCCCCGGGAGTAGGGTGGGGGCACAATGGCTTTTTCATTAATTAGATCAAAGTTTTACAAAGGAATATATAGGAAAAATCTTTAAATATCTTCTCAAGATCCATAGGGACAGGAAAGGTGAAACTCATATTGAATCATCCTCAGGTAGTGTACATTCAAGTTTATTCAAATCATGACCCCGAGTGTAGGGTATATAGGGGCCACAATGGTACATTCAAGTTTATCAAAGTTTTACATAGGAATATATAGGGAAATCTTAAAACTTTTCTTCTCAAGTACAACAAAGCCATGATTAGTGATATTTTTATGGAAGCATCCTCAGGTACTGTAGATTCTAGTTTGTTCAAATCATAACCCCCAGGGATAGGATTGGGACACAATCGGAGATCCAGGTTTTACATTAAAATATAGGAAATAAAATCTCCTAAGGAATAGCAAAGCCATAGTTAGTGATATTTATATGGAAGCATCCTCGGGTAGTGTAGAATTAAATTTTTTCAAATCATAACCCCCAAGGGTAGAAGGGTTTCAATGGTGGATCGAAAATTTCCGTAGGAAAATAAAGGGGGAAATCCCAATAACATAAAAAGCTATGTTTAGTCATATTGATATGTAAGCATCCTCACGTATTGAAGATTTAAATTTGTTCAAATCATAAGTACCCTTTGGGGAAGGGAGGGAAACAATGGGGAGTAAAATTCAAATTATTACAAAGTAATATATACAAACAAAATGTTAAAAAAAATCGTTAAAAATCTTTTTCTCAAGAACTTTCTCAAAAAGTTATATGCAGTATTGATATGGAGGCATTCTCAAGTAGTATTAGAATTCAAGCCCCCTCCCCCAACCCCTCAGTAATCTTTTCAATTCTAATCTGATTTGTTCTTTTTCCTGGCCGATGTGATCAGGTAAGGGGTGTGGCCCCTGGGCTAAGAATTGCTGGTGTTTATTTTTATAAGTATTTCAATTCCCCAATATGAAAAAAAAACTTGTGTTGTCAACAAATACTCCGTTACATGTAACCGGTTAACTGTCGAATGATACAGTAACGGTTAATAAAACTGCTATGTAGATTATTAAGAAATCTTGCATGTGCAAATAGTTAATCAGTAAAAAAAAAATCACAAGTATATATATATTAATGAAATAAGTAAAAAAAAATCAGCCAAGCAAAGTTTTTCATTGCATTGTTTATTCAAGAATGTTAAACACTTTCATGAAATTAAGTTTTAACTTACTTCCTTAATCGAATTCAAACAACAAAAAGAAATGAACAAAAAACAAAACAAATCAATCCGAACAAAAACAAAGCACAAAAAGTGAAGAAGTAAAGGAGGGATAATATCACATCAAAGTCAAAGCATTTGATTGCAAAATACACTTAGGGAAATTCCATTTTTCAGCTTTTGTAAAGTTTAAGCTGAATTCTTCAATAATTGCTATATACGTGAATGTATCCATGGTTTTTCTGAGAAAAAAAAATTAGAAATAAGTATTAATCTAATTTTATTTACATTAGCTAAAAATCATTTTGAAGTTGAATATGGATGCACAGATTTGTATGCATTCTAATCATTCTGCATTTAGAGGAAGAGATATTCAACAAAATGAAAAAAAAATATAAGGAACAAACCTGAATTTGTCTCCGAACACCCAACTTATAAAGAGGTTCTCCTTGAGAATCTTCTATATACTGGAGACTTTGGAAAGCCTAGAAAATGAAAATAAAAATTCTTTTCAAATTTTTATGTGATTAATTACATTAATTAGCTGAATATGATACGAAAGAGGCCAGATATTTGAATCTACGTAATGTAGTCACTTTGCAATAATTTTTGATTTGCATCATGATTTTGTAAACTATAAAATTAAAAATATCTACTGACCTTTCTTGAGACAGTAACTGGACACTTATAGACAATCCATTGAACAGTTTCGTAACAAGGTGGCGAAGTCAAAGATCCGGCGTATGTGTAGAACCTCTGATCATATGGAAGGACATCCGCCGGAGAAATCCCATAATTCACATGATGTCTATGATCATAGTACGTGTTTCTTCTGTAGCAATGGCGTTGAATGTAGTCATGACCTGGTTTCAAGCCACATCGAAGATCTAAATAAAAACATACAAACACTACTGACTATAAAGCCTTACAAAACAGAGACTAAAAGAGATGCCCCGTGTTTCTGATACTTTTTTGTAATGACTCTCAATATTGTTTTTTACTTTGCGGAGAACTATTTTTTTACGTATCGATGCTGATTTTTATGCTTCCTTTGCTTGCTGATTCGAATAATCCTTTTGTTAGCTGACTTAATGCTAGTTATCCTTATCCTGATGTTGTTTTATAATAAGGTACCGGAAAAAAGATGCTGTAATTGAATTTTAGCATGGTCATTTAAAGCAATAAAACTGCCTATTTAATAATTTCTCTTTGTATTAATAATTTTAAAAAAAATGACAAGATTCTCCTCCTGTTTTTAGTCTTAAATATAGACAAATTATCGATTTTCTAATGTAAGTAGCATAATGCTGATGTAGGTCAATGCTAGTTCTATCCTTTGCTTGCTGATGCTGATCCTAGCAATACTGTTTTTTAATGCTGATCCTGATTTTAGCTGGATGCTGCTGCTTATTTTGTTTATGCTTATTTATATAACAAAATTAGTGCCCTGCACTGCGAGCCTTACTAAAATCAAAAGTCACTTTTACCTTTTGGTCGATAGTCACTAAAATGTTTGTGCCCCAGAGGATAATGCTTCCTAATCTTCGTGAAGTAGTTCTCCATAAGGTAGCTCAAAGAGCGTGCATACTGGAATCTGCACTTCCCATACTATTAAAAGACAAATGTCATTAATACTATGGACATGTATGTAAATTATACACTGTAGTTGCGGATATTTAATTAATATTTAGAATGATAAGACGATGCATGATGGTGATAGCGAATTATTTTTTAACTGGGTCATCAGATACAAGATATTGAGGCCTAGAAGCAGAGGCACTTATTTGGAATCAATGAGCAAAAAGTACTATTTTACTTGTGTTCATCCATTTTATTCAACAAGATATTTTGCTGTGATGAATAGTTTCAACAAATTTTTTAAACAAAATTGGTAAAAATAATGTAGACATTGGATTCTAATTGACACCATTAAAATATCGCAAGGATGAATTGCTTCCTGAATTTAATGGATCATACCCCTTTGTAGTAATTCCGTCCAAGAAATCCATCTTTTCCACGTGTTATTCTTTTTCCCCATCCTACAAGAATCAGCAAAAAAAAAAAATTAATAGCATTTAATTGAAATGAAACAATAGATCATTAATAATTATAATTTTATATATTTTAATGCTTAAGTACCGTTATCTATTTATGGAATAAAATTGGCATTTTTATCATAGTGTGATAGAATGATGAAGTGATATCTAATCATTGAGAGATTATATCGTAAATGTGATTTTTCTTCCCATTGCAAGAAGTTTGAGTTGTACAATTACACTTTTGTCTGTGAGTGGAGTAAATAAACCATCATAAACACTCCACATTTAACTGAAAGACTTTGACACTGTGTTACGAAAAGACAAAGGCAGAGGGAATATCAAAGAAAGAAAAATATACAGAAAATTTGATATTTTGTAGATTAATACGGAATTCTAGATCTATTCATAATTTTGGTATTTTTGACTAGCTACAAATTTCTGTAATAAAATCAAATTGATATCTACAATGCTAAAAAAAGACCATATACATGTATGTTTCAATTTCCTAGCTTTATTTCGTGTAAAAATCCAAAGTATTCAACTTGTGAGCCTTATTTTGCTGTTCAACCATAACAACACAAATACATTGTATGAAATTACATAACCTTTCTTAGATTATCATTGAATGTAAAGATAAGTGATATTCTAAATAACTGGAAGAAAAGTCTTTGCTAACTTTATCATCATCAATTTCTCCTTTGAGGAACTGCAAAGTTAGATAAATGAGTAGTACAAGAAAGTTTTTTTATATGAAAATAAGTTGCTTTTACCAAGTTCATCATCGTCATCATCACCATCATCGTCATTGTGGTCATTTGAAGGCTGATAATAGCCTCTGCTTACCTGTTAAAGCAAAATGAGAACATCAAAAGATATAAAGATGCACATACTCCGATGCTTGTGCTAGATTAATGAATTCGTTTGTAACAAGAAAGGTGGCGAGGTTGAAAATATGAGCTACCTCCAATATCGGAAGATGAGTGAAAAATTTTACAAACAAACATATATGAAATAGAACACCTTACCAAAGCATAATCTTTTCTGGTCTTCGAAAAATATAACTATAATTGAATAAAGATGCATAACATTGTATACCTCAACCATGACCGCCATGACTACCAAACTGTCGGGATAAGAGAGGGCGTGGTTCAAGTTGGAATATTTACTGTCGTAAAATACCAGCTGGGCCTGAAAAAAATTACAAAGATACACGCAAATGAAACAAGTGAAATAAATTTTGTTAAAAATTTTAAAAAGTGCACTTAATATTTAAATTATGTGTACGTAAAGCATATCTGCTTCTAACATTATTTAAGAAATATATGTACAAAGTTTTATTTAAGTATTTTTCTTACTTCCATAGGGTAGAAATAGTCATCGATTGAGTGTTCCGATCCTCTGTATTCATCCTGCCCGGCATGCATCTCAAGCTGAGCAAACACATATTCCTTATATTTTGGTCGGCCAGGAACATTTGTCAGAATTATTTTATCCCCTCTCTTGTAGTAATCTAGCTTCACTTCAAAGCTCGGAGAGTGTCCTGCAAACAGTAACATGAACATGTGCAGGATGGATAATAGTACCTTGTTTAAAAGAAATGTATTTGTTCAGATCTGTGGTTCTCAGAAAGACAAGAGCAAACTTACTTTAATACTGACTCATAATTGAAATCATTCATTGCTTTATGTTGTGTACATATGAGTAGGGGATATTAAATCTAAATGCAAATTGGAGTATCTTGCATATGTTTGGTGGAACAATTTGCTGGGGAATGTTTAGAAGTTCTACATATAACTAAAGATAAAACGTTAGAGAATGTTTTCTAACTTCGACATATCTTATTTTTTACTTTCAAAAATTTTCAAAGAAAATAATTTAAAAGTATATTGAAGTGAGATAATTACCATTGTTATAGATATAGGCAGGAACCTTTTTGTTGAAATTCTTTATCTGCACGTATCCATGGTGATTCTGTTTTGCCCTGTATGTGTCTATGTTGATTGGAGATTGTCTCTTGTATGAGCCACATGTCGACCAACATTTGCTTATTCTGCACCAATCATACGGTCCTAATAGCAAGAAAAACGTAGATAATATGTGCATAATATACGAGTTATAATACTGACTGGCTTTAAGTAATCTTCTTAGAATAACTTTAAAAAATACAGATAGTAGTTGCATCTATTAAGCCTTAAATCTTTTTTAAATATGCACAGTAATCCATTTGTAGTTTTCATTTTTTAAATGATGATCATGTAAATTACTTTAGCAAAACTTACTTAAAATGATAAATATGCATTATTACAGCACTTGCATTGTTTCATTTTTATAAAAAAAATTCTCACCTTCACAAGCGCCTCCTTTGTAACTAAAATGAGCAGCATAGATATTGTCATAATAACAGGCACCCTGAGTTGGTGGTCTTTTGCCAAGGTACCCTACACCGTATGCATTTCCCAGAAACCCACATACAACTAATAGAACCAAGCCCGTCATGTTGAATTTTTGAATTTTCAGTTAGAATTTTTTCTTTTATAGAATTCAATGTGCACTGCACATGTTCGCCAAAGTTAATTTTAGAGTAATGCACGGATTTTGTGTGTCAGTGGCATAGACAGTATATCCTAATCGTGCATCGTATGAAGATACTATTAGGATATGAACCTGTTATACCGGGTGATCGAGTGTAATATTGTCAATTTTTTGAACATTAATCACGAATACATATAAGCTTCTCAGGAGATGTTCAAGTTCTGTTGATAATTTTGGAGAAAGCGTAATAAAATTTTAGCTGACACTTAACTCAAAGCGAATATTTTGAATTAATATTAGTATCAGAAACGTTAATTAGGCACTGAATTTGGACATTATAGAAATTAAGTGCCTCTGGACGTATAAGTAATGTCTGTATTATAACCTGTAAAAATAAATCGACCAAGAAGAAGCAGTTTTACTGTAAAAAAAAAATATATAAATCAGTATCTTCAATGAATGTAAGCTAGTTTTTTTTTTTTTGTTTGCAGATGTCATTTTTATTATCCTGTACTCACGTACTAACATATATGTAATCATAACTCTGGAAGATGTTAGAAAATTGCTTTGAGTGGTTTATAACAAGTTATTCAATTATTCTGGAAAAAAATCAGTCATGAACTGAAGGACATACGTAGCTTAGTTCGAATTTTATTTTCATTTTCCCTAGAGTAAAACAGTTCCACTGTTTTGTTATTTTTTTTTGTATGCTGTTAACCGTCCATCGCGAGAATTTTTCAATTATATGGAGACACCACCACCTGGAGAGCAGCAAATTTTGTCCTATACTCTGTATTCAGGGCCATCGAGCAGGGAGGGATCTTAATCGTGCCAACACCTACTGCGATGCGAGACCTCGGTTTATACGGTCTCAATCGAAGGACCGGTCTCGCCGTCTCACAGTGGGATTCAAACCCGTGACGTAAGAATCAACACCTTACTCTAGAGCAGACGCTCTAACTACTACGCCACGCGGGCGACTTCAAATTTTGAAAGGAACTGTATAGACATTTTATTGTCTATATATGCTGTTGTATATTTCTTCTCAAACAAGTTTGGATAAATTAAACACCTAGAATATAAGTATTTTTGTATACTTTTCTTTGAACTTTTCAAGAATTTTATCGATTGATATATTTTCAAAACCCCTGATTATGCATTCCGATTTTTTGTTTACGAATATCTAATGGCACTTTTTAAACGGAGAATATCTTGAAAAACATCAGTAGGTAGATACGTTGCGTATGTCCTTAAGTGAAACATTAGTCTATAAATGATAGTCGATTTGAAGTCAAAAGTGCAAATCTAAGGAATCGTGAATTATGCGGAAATAACAAGTGACTAATTCTTAAAGTTTTAACCCTGACCCTGAATCTGATTGTACTGCAGTTAAGTTCAACTCCAGACTTTAGTATATTGTAATGGAATGAAATTCGCTTAAATGAAAGGTCAGATTTACAGTAGCTCTTGTAGTCATTCTATACGGTGTGGAGTTAGGTTTTTACAACATCCCTGCAGAAAAAAAGCTGCATAGAATGAAAAAAGCAATGGTATATTTAAAATCTTATCCCAATAACTGATATTAATGGGATTTCCTAGTTGATTAAAGTATACAGTGTGTATTTATGTAGCCGATCGCGTTAAACAATTAACAATTTACCATGGGCTGACACCAAAATATCAATATGAGAAAATAGAGAACGGAAAGAATAATGCTACCTGGTTTCAAGGCCTTAAATTAATAATAAACTGAAGTCAAAATTTCAAAGCAATATAACTTTAGAAATAATTTTGATCATCTAACAAAAAATCTTAATTTTAAAGAGAATTGCTTTTGAACAAATGCATTATATAGAACACGAGGTATTGAGTTTGATCTACGTTTAATGCCTTGGGACCTGTAGATTTTCAACCTGAATTATAATTTGATACAAGAGTAAGGAAGTCCAAAAAATCATCTAGGTTTATAATAAGTAGCCAGGAAATATTTAAAGGCATACTCAAATTGGTGTCCCTCAAATGCTTACAACCCCCCTTTATACAACTACAAGAATTCTTTCAGAAGTAAAAAAAAATGTACAACTTTATAAAACAGGTTTAAGGACATACACACCGTACATGTACACAAACTCTACAAATTACCTTTCTCACAGATAATATCTTATAATATTCTCAATTTAAATCATAATACCATTATATCTATATAAAATAATGGAATTTGCAGTAGTATTTGAAGTAAAATTAACATAGATACATGTATAGATTTAGATGGTATTTCCTAAAAGTTTGATTTAGAGGAGGTGTGCAATATTACTATAGCTAAGGATCATAGAAATGCAAAGAAGTCTATCACTAATTAGAAGTTATTAAAACTACACTGCGTATGTCCTTCAAACAATAAAAATATATGTGGAATTAAAAAAATCGTTTTAAAACAATGATTTTTCAAATATTCCAAAAATTATTACCCAATCGAAAAATGATATCAAAACTTTGCCACTACAATGTATATATGCTTTTCTGCTAACAAATGTATTATTAATGTTTGAAATTCAGATTTTCAAGATCTATTTTGTTCTGCAACATTTTTGCTGTATACTTTTTGTTTTATTTTTAAGTGGCTTTTTTTTCTATTATCAGTAAATTTAAGGGATTGGTATATTGATATGCATTGTGCGAGTACCTTTTGGTCTAGATCTGCTCCCCTATAATGTATATTTTTGGTAGTTTCGTCATTTTAACGTTACACCTTGGAATGTATTTCTAGTAATTGGATCTAATTCAATAGGTACAGGACAAATATTTGTCAACTAATAGACCTATAGAACTTCATTGTTTTAAGGGCAAACTATAATTAAAAAAAATTAAAATTATCATTCATGAATTTTAAATTAAGATAATGTTGATTATAAATAAACAGCAATGAAATCAGAAAGTACGATAATATAGCAATTGAATGATTTTTTTGCCTATCATTAAGTCAAATGCTGACTGACGTTTTCATTCTAATTTTAGACCATTATGGCCACACTGAATTGTCGACAGAATTTTCAGTTATATCCTAATCATTACAAAGTAACACGATTTGTGTGACTGGTCGACAGGGGATACTCACTTCTCCATGGCACCTGATCACATCTCTAATTTTTTAAGAGGTCCGTTTTTGCTATGTTCGGATTTGTATTGTATTAATGGACGTCTGAGTGTGAATACTGCTTGTTATCTCCATATATTTCATTGAAGTCTAAAGCTTCCAGATTAACTTTTTTCATCAATCGGTTTATTTCGCCAAACCCATACAAAATTGTACACGAGGAACATAAATAATATCTATGAAATCGTTAACGGTACACATACATACATGTACATAAAGATATTAAAACTGCGTTAGCAAAGAGGATAAACATATAATAAAAAGTGTGTTTATAATTAATGCAAAAAAAGACCACCAGAAGAACAATTAGTCGTAACTGAGGGTCTTCAAGATTTTTGGAATAATGTACAATGGTTTTCTCAAATATATAATGTCTGTACAAAGTTTTATAAAAAGAATTGACATTTGTACAAAGTTTTCAAAAAAAAAATTAACAGGAAATATATACGGAGATTACGAACAGTATTTAAACTCAAAAGTCCATCAAACGAAACAAATCAGTTAGATCAGAGCGAAGATTTAAAATGAATTCATTTTTGTCTCCTTAACTCTGAAAAATCAGAACATTCTTACATATAGTACTATTAATTACCTGTCTTTACTTTGTTACAAAATAAACATATATTCTTCATTTTGAAAGGGGCACTCTCCCTGTCTCTACATGGTAGAAGTAAGTTATGATTTGATGTACGCATTTTCGTCAATATCTTTGTTTCGGGCGTAATTTATTTTTAGAATTTAATTTTTATATCCAAAAAAAAGTTTTAAAAATTTGAACAGTAATTTTAAAAGAATAACATTGCAATAAGGCTTTAAACTCACATCATCACAGAGATTTATGTAATTAATTATTATTGAACTTGTTTCTGGGTAATTTTGCGGTTTTCCTCTTTTTATGCAACTTCAATCATATCAATATTATTACTATACCTTAAACGGTTAATATTTGTTCAAAACATTCTCAGAATGTTTGTTTATTTTCTTAATATTTTGAAGCTAGTACAATGGACATGAAAAATTATTATTGCAAATTTTTCCACATAAGTCAGCCGTGTTCTACTCGTTTATACAACAAGATAAGCAGCAAGGACAAAACGGCAATGGGACACGCCTTTCGCCTGAATATTTTTCCTGATAAACATTTTTTGATTAAAATCAGAAGTAATCTAAGTTGACTATTTTTTTTCAAAACAGAAATTACATGACATTTTGAAAAAAAATATTAGAAAATAAAAATTTGTAATAACTTAAATTAATGTGTTGTTTTCTTGGTCAAAAGATGTGAAGTCAACATTTTTAGTACTTACTCGATTTGTGAATCTTGTGATTTTTCAAGTTAATTCTGAATTTTTTTTGCAGAACCTTAAAGTTAAAAATCTTAAATGCAATCGTTTTAAAAAAGTTCATGAAAGTTTTCAAGTCTATTCTTTTAATTTATGTTCAGTTATTTAGAGTCAATAACTTAAAATTATGCAGAAACTACGATAGTTTGTTTCTTTGTTGTTAAATGTCAATCTAGAGAATTTTTCAATCATATGGAGATGGTACTACTTGTCAGTGGAGAGCTGCAAATTTTGACCTACATGTATACTCAGCACTCAGGGTTATTGGTTAGTGAAGACTAAAGACGTTTTCGTGCCTGCATATGTTTATATGGTCTCATCCGAAAGATACATGCAGGTCTTCATTTCCCACAGTGGGATTTGAACCTGCAACAAACTACGGTAGTAGGAAATACATTATCATAGCATTCCTTCAACTTAAAATAGAAGTTTCTCTCTTGGTATAGAGTAATACCACAGAAATTAATATGCGCTTCCATAAATTTTATATCACAATGATTTAGTTTAAAGTACATTCCTTGCTTCATTAAATCTTAATATAAAAATAAAAGTAAACTTAGCAGCATAAAAAGGAGTCGCAATTTCATAGTGTCCAGTATTGCTAAATAATTTAGCGTTTTATCCTCTTTCCCTATTTAGACATCTTAGTGGTCAATTAGATCAAATCTATCATATGATGGAAACATAACTTCAGTCTAGTTTTTGTCTATAGCTATTCATTATGTTCCCCAAACGGAGTTTGGGAACATATTGTTTTTACTCGGTTTCTTATTATTATTATTATTATTAAGGTCTTCCGTCTTCAGCGGAAGACCTTCTTGTTATTCTTAGGTTTCTTTTTCACTTTTATTATTATTATTCTTTTTTTTCTTACCGATTTTGTGCACGCGATTTCTCAAAAACGACTCAATGGATTTCCATGAAACTTTCAGGACTTATGTAACATTACTTGAACCTTATGCATTTTTTTCCGATTTGATGACGTCACTTCCGGTTTGGAGATATTGTCGATTTTATGATTTTTGAAGGGTCAGATTGTCCGCAAACTTTCTCAATAATGGCTCAAGATAGAAACATGAAACTTTCAGGTATGATAGACCATAGTTTATAGATATGTATAGTGTATTTCATTTTTATCGGAAGTGCCGCACGTCGGCGCTCGCTATGGCCCGAAAATAGTCCTATCGTGAATTTCAAAATTTTTAACACCTTTTCTACGATATCTTTTTCCCTGGAAATATTTTGTTAAAATATATTGAACAAAAGAAGTGTAGAATTCCAAGATCTTTCAAATGATATCTCAAAAAAAGGGCTGGCCCCTAAAATGAAGGGCTCAGAGGGGCCGAAAGTTTTTTCTTTATATCTCAAAAAGTATTGAAAATTTGTAATACGCCAAAGAAGCAAAGTTGTTCAAAATGTCAAGCTTAATCTTTTGGAGTCGTCAGAATACGTCAGGCGTCGTCACTTCCGGCTAAACCGGAAATAGTCGAAAACGTGTATTTTTGCCATTCTTCACAAGTTTTGGGGTAACATATGTCTCTGGAAGCATAAAAATTAATTTTCCGTCCGTCGTCGTCACTTCCGGTCAAACCGGAAGTAGCAAAAATTGCTTATTTTTGCATTAATTAACATAGCTTTAGAGGATTCAAACCATTTTTAGGCATTATTTCTTATTTTTGTTAAAAATTAAAGCTACTTCCGGTCAAACAGGACGGAAGACCTACTCGTTGCTTTGCAACGAGCTTTGCTCTAGTTATTATTATTATTCTTTTTTTTCTTCTTTGTTCTCCGGTACTTTTTTGTCCGCGAGTGTTCTCAGAAACTGTTCACCCAACTAAGCTAAAACCTTTTTAGGGTTAATAGGTGTGTAGTGTAGGTGTGCGGAACGAAGGTCATTTTGCGCGCATACGCATGCACGTGCGTGCGCGTGAAATGAGTGAAATGACCGATATACTTAATATCGCTATAACTTTTACATTTTTTAATTAAATGATTTGAAACTCATTATATAAAGATATATTAATAGTGTAGATAATATGACACTGTCAAATTAGCACGAACTCACGCGCATGCACGTGCACTTCGCTCTGATTGGCTGAAACAAAAATCTCAATATCTTTTCTGTTTTTTTGACGAAATAATATGAAATTTAAAATATAGGCATACTTTAGGATGTTCTACAATATTGTGTATAAAAATTGTCATGAAAACACGCGCATGCACGTGCGCTGCAATCTGATTGGCTTAAACTTGAAATGGCTATAACTCCCTTATTTTTCAACCAAACAGGATGGGATTTAGAACATAGACAGATATAATAGACTCCTACAAGAAGGTATGGTCATCATGCACGTACGTGCATGTGCGCTTCGTTCTGATTGGCTGAAACAAAAATCTCAATATCTTTTTTGTTTTTTGACGAAATGCTATGAAATCTAAAATATATACATACTTTAGAATGTACTACAATATGATATACGTGTATAACAATTGTCATGAAAACACGCGCATGCACGTGTGCTGCAATCTTATTGGCTAAAACTGTAAATGGCTATAACTCCCTTGTTTTTCAACCAAACAGGATGGGATTTAGAACATAGTCAGACATAATAGACTCCTACAAGAAGGTATAGTCCTCATGCACATGCATGCACGTGAAATGAGTAATATTAAAATACACTTAAATGAGTGTATTTCCTAATACTTCTGGATTAATTGATTTGTTATTAAGTATATTAAAATATATATATAGTGTAGACAAGATGATGTGGTCATTACGCACATGCATTCAGATGAGCACGCGTGCAATGCTAAAATTTAAATACATTTTGTATTCTTCTGGGAAAACGTTGTTTAAGTCTAAATTGCATAAAGTGTGTCTTACTTAATAGCGCTTACAGGGAATACGGCACCCAAATGGAGTTGGGGAGCGTTTGGGGAACATCTGTAACGGTCCCCGTTACAATTAGCCCTAGTTATAAATTGTATTTCAAATTTATATCAGAAAAAAACTATTTTAAACCAGTTTTAAAAAACTTATAAATCGTTCTATCTTTTTAAAGATTATTTTAAAAATTGTTAAATGTTTAGTTTCAAGCAACAATATACAGGATTTTTTTTTATCAGTATTCCATTTTAATCTAGTTATTCTTCATGAAAATAAATTAAGAAGTAAGATAAAAATCTTGCTAACAGATGTATTTGTATTACAATGACGAATCAAAACATTGTGATCTTCTGACTGAAGAAGCAGCGCCATATTATGTTTTTACTACGATTTCAATGGTTAAGATACTAAATATTATTTTCATATACATGTACACTTCATATGATTAATTTTATAATTTGATAATTAATTGTTACTCTTTCTATTCTCTGTGTTAAAATTTCTTCATATCATGATCTGACATAAAAGTCATTTCTGGTAAAATAAGACACGCTTCATACCCGATGATATTTCCCCATTGAAACTGATCCTATAGCTCTTTATGAAAATCAGTGTTGGAAAAATGAAAGGACACGGTAGGGTTACGGCTGAATCTGGCCCTTTATTTTAATGTGAAAAATCAGAACACTGGTAAAATTGTGATTGTTTGCAGTTAAGAACTTTTAAAAATGATGCTTGCTTTAAAACCAGCATTTATTTGGATTTAAAGCTTACATGGAGACAACAAGAGGGTGTAAATTCTAGTGGATTTCATCATTTTTGAGACACTTTTCTCTTCGGGAAACATAGAGCACAAGCTTGCCTATCTGAAATTTTTACACATGAGATGTATCGGATACTAGTGTATAAAATATATCAATTTGGTAGGTAGGCAATCTTGTGCTTTTTGTTTTCTGAAACAAAATGTGCTGTAAAATCGATGAAAATTTGCATAAAAATGAGAAAATTCGGAAGTTGACCTATTTAATTACTTACCTCTCTGTGGACACATTCTAGAATCAATACTCATTTTGTGACAGGGTTAAAACAGGTTTTTATTTATAAACTGTTGCACAATTCTAGTGGACAATCAAAGGGTCTTACCCTATCTTGTCCTTTAGAGCAGAAGGTTTACTAGTTCTGAATATCAAGACAACAGAGCTTTAAAAATACTGGATCTAATAAGTCACACACAATGTTGAATAAATTCTATACAGCTCCTTTTCTGGAAAAGCATCTACTTCAGTCATAAATGTGGCTACTTATTTTATGTACATCTAGTATCCTAGTTATTAATGAGTGAAAATTAAAAAAAGTAAGCCAGTCAAAGTATTTGAATTGTTTATTAAAGAATATTAAGCACGTTCAAGAAAATCATAGTTATATCTTCTACATCGTAAACAGAAGGGAAAAAAAACCAACAAAATAAAGCAAAATCAAACAAACAAAAAATTTTAAAAGCGGGAGATGGATAATGTCACATCAAAGTCAAAGCATTTGATTGCAAATACACTCGAGGAAATTCCATTTTCAGTTTTTGTAAAGTTTGAGTTGAATTCTTCAATAATTGCTATATACGTGAACGTATCCACGGTTTCTCTGAAAAGAAAATAGAAACACATGTAAGTATAAACAAAATGTTGTCAACATATGCTTAAAAATTATTTCAACTTATGGACACAGGAATATGCATGTGCATCACTATAATGTTACGAGAAGAGCTTTACGCCTTAAAATAAGAAATATAAGGAACAAACCTGGATTGGTCTCCTAACACCCAACTTATAAAGAGGTTCTCCCTGAGAGTCTTCTATATACTGGAGACTTTGGAAAGCCTAGAAAATAAAGGTTCTTTTCAAATTAGTATGTGGTTATTTACATTGTTTAGGTAAATATGACACGTGTGCGAGTCAAGATTTTCAAATTTCCTTAAAGGACAAATTGCCTGAAAACTATAGAATTTACAAAAGACGAGATAATCATTATGTATGCTGACCTTCCTTGAGACGGTAACTGGACACTTATAGACAATCCATTGAACACTTTCGTAACAAGGTGGTGAAGTCAAAGATCCGGCGTATGTGTAGAACCTTTGATCATATGGAAGGACATCCGCAGGAGAAATTCCATAACTCACGTGATATCTATGATCATAGTATGTGTTTCTTTTGTAGCAATAGCGTTTAATGTAGTCATAGCGTGGTTTTCTGCCACATCGAAGATCTAAATAAAAACAAACACACTTTTTTTAACTTAATAAATTCTTTCACAACGGAAACTAAAAGGGTTGTCTTTTGAATCTGACACATGAATTTAATTTTTTGCTTTCTATTTTGTTCATTAAAACCGTGAGTACAAATTCACAAAAATCCAAAAGTAGCTCTCACCTTTTGGTCGATAGTCAGTAAAATGCTTGTGTTCAAGAGGATAATGCCTCTGGATCTTTGTAAAGTAATTCTCCATAAGGTAGCTCAAAGAGCGTGCATACTGGAATCTGCACTTCCCATACTATGAAAAGAAATTTGAAGAACTCGTTTACCTCAGTGTAATTAATATTTATTGGAACAATTTTTAAAAGTCATTTAAGCAAGAGAAAGATATGCACATAAAAGGACTGATATTTAAATCATATTTGAAATGATAAGATGATGTATGCAGCTAATTGTATTTTTTTTAACTAGGAAATGTAATGGTATGATAAGTTAGGCGTTGCAACAGAAATTTTGACAAAATTGATTATATAGTGTTGTGTTACCTGTCTTCCTCCATTTAAAATTATATAAACTAATTAACTGATGTAAAGACACTCGGAATTAATTGACCACTTTGAAACATCTGGAGGGTGTGTAGGTGTTGGAATTTAATAAGTCGAGGGTTATTTATAGTCGATAAAATTTTCTTAAATCCCATCAGTTTAAACTTTTTGTTACACCGCGAAATGTAATAACAACGCATAATTCAATAAAATTGTTTTTTTTTAATTTTGTTTTAAACAATGCTTTTAACTCTTTATATTTTTTTCTCAGTTTATTACCCCTTTGTAGTACTTCTTTCCAAGGAATCCATCTTTTCTATCTCTTGTTCTCTTTTTCCACCCTACAAGAGTATATGAGTTATAGATAACATTTTCAATGGTGAAATAAGGTATTGTATATATCAAAAAAATTATTTTTTCACTGCAAGAAGAAATAACGTTTAGTTACATTGTCCTTTCCTATACGAAAAGTGTTGTACATGCACCCCTGCTTGAAAGATCCAGTAACTAAGCCATCATAAAGGCTCAACTATCATCTATAGGTCCATGACACTGTGTTACAAAGAGGGCGACGACGGGGCGAAATCAACGGAAAGAAAATTAAACATGCAAATTCAATGATTTGAAGTTTAATACTAAATACATTTCCTCATGAAATTCAAACTTTTGGATTTGTAAATAAAAATTAACAGCATTGAAAAAATTGACCTGCTAAAATTTTGTAATTTTTGATAACAAACAGATTTCAAAACAACGAAGAATACCACGTATTTCAATTTGTGAACGTTAATTGGTTGTACAACCAAAACAACACAACTAAGAAAATATCTACCATTCCTCAGATTATGATAGAACACATAGATCAAAGATACCATAAAAACGGGATACGAAGAATCTCTTTACTATATCATGGCCAGTGTTTCTTCTTTGAGATATGTGTTGTACTAGTAATTTTTTATGTGAACATAAGTTTATTATTTACCGCGTCCATCGTCGTCATCATCGTCGTCATCATCATCATCATCATCATCATCATCGTCGTCATCATTTAAAGGCTGATAATAACCTTTGTCTACCTGTTAAAATAGATTGAGTATATCAAGATATAACTTTTGATTAATATTTTCAAATGCTTGTGCTTGCGTACGTTATGCATTTGATTGCAACTTATTTGAAGCAGGGGTAAAGCTTTTCATATGTTTGTTTAACGCCCCTTCGAAAATTATCACTCACAGTGAAAATCGTTTGCTGTGGGAGGGGTCTGCAAATTATGTTCTGATGTGCGTGGAATGCTAATATCACTAACATGCACTATATATGGTAAGCATATCTAGTAAGGAAAAATAGGATTTTTTAAAATAAAATCTTTAAAGGTATAACTCCTCCAGCACAATATTACTAACATGCACTATATATTGTAAGCATATTTAGTAAGCAAAAATAGGATTTTTAAAAATAAAATCTTTCAAGGTGTAACTTCTCCAGTTTGTTCAATAAATTATCAACACATGAACTAATTACGGAAGTTGAATTTTTGTGACTTGAGATAAAATCATCAAAAACTGTTTAACAAAGAGACAACCCCACCCTTGCTTTTAATATTTTATGCGTTTTGATTCGGTTTCAACGAAACATTAACCAAAACCCCTTATAAGAATATACGATTTTAAGAGTATTCCAAATCATATAACGGACAGACAGGTACAGTTATAACATAATACAGATATATAACATATTGTATACCTCAACCATGACCGCCATGACGACCAAACTGTCGGGATAAGAGAGGGCGTGGTTTAAGTCGGAATATTTACTGTCGTAAAATACCAGCTGGACCTGAAAAAGCATAGAGACTCAGATACATGCAAATAAAGTGTGCTCAGTTAATTTTGTTAAACATTTATCAAAGGGCACTTGATATGTTAAATTATGTGTATGCAACTCATTCCGGGTATTCGCAGACTAACATTATTTAAAATATACAAAATTTTATGAAATTATTTAAAAGTATTTTTTCTTACTTCCATTGGGTAGAAATAGTCGTCGATTGAGTGTTCCGATCCTCTGTATTCATCCTGGCCGGCATGCATCTCAAGCTGAGCAAATACATATTCCTTATATTTTAGTCGGCCAGGAACATTTGTCAAAATTACGTTATCTCCCCTCTTGTAGTAATCTAGCTTCACTTCAAAGTTCGGAGAGTGACCTGCAAACAGTAACATTTAATTGTAAGTTAACGTAATTACAAAGAATGGGCAAAATCCTGACATGATAGTACCTTGCTTGAAAGAAATGTATTTGTCCAGATATTGGTCTTTCAAAAACACGAGCAAACTAATTTTTATACGCTAATACTGTCTAGGAATTGAAATGATTCATCACTTTCTCTTGTGTTCCGGGGATATTAAATCCATAAGCAAGCTATAACAGTCTATCGTTGAGGATAAAAAAAATTTGTTTTCATTACGTATGTCATTAAGTTAAATCGTCAGCTTGCCATCAGTATCTTTCTCTAGAAAAAGCATCGTAATATAAAATACATGTCAACCTCTGCGGATTCTTTTATTTAGTGAATATATGCATGGAAACAATTTTTTTCAGTAAGAATGCGAATAATGTTAATTAATTAAATGACATCGGTAAACATACATAATGGATATGTCGAATTAAAGACCTCAACAAGAGACATCAACTGTCCCTGTAGAAGTTTTTGAACTAATTCTGCTTTGTATCAACTCAACAAGATATCTGCTATTAACTGGGCACAATGAAGTACCCATCAAAATTCCAACAGGTTATAGGAAGTGATATCTTTCCGTAGTTTTAAGTATCCTTGTCTGATTTACACAACATCCATGGAGCTTTATGTTGTTTGAATAAGGGCAATTAAATTGTACTGATACCAGTTTGAAATACATGTTGCTGCTTTTTGTGGTTGAATCAGAACTATAATTATATTACAAAAAAAAATGATTTCGCGAGAAGTAATTAACATCTAATCCCTTTAATTACCATTCAGGTTTAATAAATTTCTTGAGGGGGAATGTAAATTCTAAGTTCTACTTGTAACTATAGATAAAAAGTAAAATATTGTTTTCTAACTTCGACATATATTACTTTTAACCAACAATAAATGTTGAAAGTAAATGATTTTAAAGTATATATTTTAGTGAGATTTTCTGAATAATTACCATTGTTATAGATATAGGCGGGAACCCTTTTGTTGAAATTCTTTATCTGCACGTATCTATGTTGACGCTGTTTTGCCTTGTATGTGTCTATGTTGATTGGTGATTGTCTTCTGTCTGATCCACACATCGACCAACATTTGCTAATTCTGCACCAGTCATACGGTCCTAATCGCAAGAAAAGCAGAAATAATATGCTTGACATAAAATCATATTAGCGAATTAATTAAACTTTTTGCATCTATTAAGCATGAAAATAAAGTTCAAATAATAGGCAAAGCGAATCAGTTTCATTTCATTTATTTCTTTTTGTAAGACAATTGCTTGAAAACACATTCCATACTAGAACACACCTAATTCGTCAAAGAAAGTAAAGATCGAAAATTTAACTGCATATCTTTCACTTAGTTGATTTTAATATTTTTTCACTTACCTTCACAGACACCTTCTCTGTAGCTGAAATGAGCAGCATAGATATTGTCATAATAACAGGCGCCCTGAGTTGGCGGTCTTTTGCCGAGGTACCCTACACCGTATGCAGTTCCCAGAAACCCACATACAAATAATAGAACCAAGCCCGTCATGTTGAAATGTTTAAATTTTCAGTTAGAATTTTTTTCTTTTATAGAATTCAATGTGCATTGCACATGTTTACCAAATTTAAATTTAGATTTTTGTACGGATTTGAGAGTCATTGACAAAAACAGTGTATCCTAATCGTGAATGGAATGTATAAACTATTAGGATGTGAACCCGTTACTAGAGGTGAAATAGTGCGTTAAGTGTATTATTTTCACTTTCTCTAACGGTCATTGATAAATATAAGCATCTTAAGAGATGTACATGTTCTGTTGATAATTTTGGAGAATGCTTATTTAATTTTATCTTAACAAAAATATGCTAGTTAACTATAGAAAATCAAGTAAATCAGTTTTCAAAGTGATCTCCAGTGACATAGTTATTACAATAGTAAATCAAAGTTTTCAAATTCATCACTATAGTAAATCAACGTTTTCCCATAGTAAATCAAAGTTTCCATAGTTATCACCATTTTTAATCAAAGTTTTCATAGTTATCACTATATAGTAAATCAAAGTGTCAACGTGTTCACTATAGTTAAGTATAGTTAACTATTATAATAGTATTGTTTTGTTAGGGTAGCTGAAAGGTAACGCAAAGCAAATATTTTTATTCGTGTGATATTAGTATCAGTAACTTCTTTTAGACACGGAAGTTATAAATTCAAATTATATGTTATGCTTAACTCGAAGGTCATTTGAGGGCAAAAGTTACATATGTGCTATCAAATCTAACGAAAACGTGAAATATCTAAGAATAGCAATTGACAATTTTTTTTAAAAAATTATAACTCGTAAACGTGATTGTACTGTAGTTACATGGAATAGTCGACGGATTTTTCTGTTCATTCCCGATCATGACAAGGAGCACACGCCAGATGTGATCGGTTGGCAGGGGGTGCTTACTCCTTCATGGCCTCTGATCCTACTTCTGGTGTTTTCATCTTTCATTAAAACAACTTAAGGTATTTTTCAAAAGAAACGAAAATTGGTTGAATAAAAAATTGACATAAGCTTCTGTAACTAGTCTGTACTGTGTGATTTATAAGTTAGTGAAATATTTAAGAAAAAACTAAATGCATTTCAAAACAAATTGACGATTCATTTTAAAAAATGATAAGATAGCATTCTTAGTGTGTCTTTGGTATATAATCTTATAACGTGATATGATTTAGGGTTGATGTTGAAAATACAATTTTAGGCGTTTCAGAAAGTAATAAACATGATTCAAAATATTTCAAATAAAAAACAAAGAAAGTAGAAGAATTACACGCTTAGTTTGGACTTTCAGTAAGGCGTGGCATTCTCGACGCTACCTAATTAGCTTCTGAAATTTACACAGCTTCCCTTCACTGTTGAAATATACATGTGATAAAAATGCGGCCGAATGTCAACTGCTGTAGTAAATAGCCAATTAAAAGTTCTCTCACGGCACAGAGGTGGGGCATAAGTCGTCTGATCGTTGTCAACAACAATTTTAAGTTCCTATGTTATTAATTTCGTAACCTATAAGAATCTACTAGTATTCTCCATTACGTAGCGCCGAGAAAGTCACGCCCTACTGAAAGTCCAAAGATAGGGTAAAATACTCCTAAAACTATGTTTTGTTAATATGCCATCTGTTTCATACTGAGCATTTATTGTCGACAGAATTTTAAAACAGTACTACGGTATTGACATTTTTTCCTGTGCATAAAAATGCATAATAAACAGAATAAATTCTAATACGAGTATGACAATTCAGTTTCAGTGAAAACCGTTCGTTATCTCCATATATTTCATTATTTTTTTCATAAGCACTGAAATCGCAAAAACAAGCCGTCTTTTTTGTTTACACTTTTCAAAGGAACAAATTATCTATCAATACAAGTTCAAAACACAGGCCACTCCACTGCAATCTTAGTATTGGAGCGACTCAGATGTCAACCAAAGATGTAACAGGTTACTAGTAATTCATACTTACATTTTTTTTTATCGTTTAAAAAATCTTGAATTTGAAGTCATATTAAATTCGCGTCTCCATATGAGTGAAAAATTCTCGAGAGGGACATTAAACATCATACAATCAATCATATAAACTTCATTTAACTTCGATCCGTTAGTCATTTTTTATTTATAACTGACACAATGTTCCAAATTATCAAATTTTGATGTCCACTATGAGATACAAATCTGAGGAAGAACACACCCCAAACTGAAAGAAAATATATAACCGGACTCTATTCATCCACTCAATTCTACCTTCTATGTTTTGTTGTGTTGACATTCGCAGGTACGATAAGGCTTCCCAGAGAATATTGTAGTGTACTCTGTGTATGCACTTCTCTGACCTACAAATGTATGACGTCATAATTGAAAATAACGTCAAGTCACTGCAGGAAGAATTCCATTTTATAAAGAAGAAATATATCATGCCCCCCCCCCAAAAAAAACCCCACACCAACCAATTAAAAAGGAAATAAGCTCCATAACAAGTGTGCAACTTTACATATCAATTTATATTATTTTCCATCATTTTGCCGTTAGCAAAACACGAGAAAATTAGCGTGTTTTATTTCCTCCCATCAAGACGGAATTTTTGTTATTAAAATGATTTTATTCGAGTAGATAAAACATATTTTGATAATATTTGCATAAAATATGCATGTTATATTTTTTCTCCTTATAAAACAATACAAAAAATGTCATTGATCAAATTTTTATTTCTCAATTTGTACCATCATTCAAAACCATGTACAGAAATTGTCTTTTCTCACATACAATGCTCAGAATGAAATATAGCTCAGAAGTTTTTGCTGATATTTATATGATTTCTCTGAAAAAGGAAGAATGACGAGGAAATATTAATTTTTTTTAATGATTTGCCATTAGTAATGAGAAGACTTTATAATTTGGTGAAAAAACTACAACTTTATAAATCAAGTTTAATGCTAAAAGCATTAAAGAGGAAACAATTACACATAACATATTCTTTTCTGCTAACGGTCGAATGTACAATAACCTTTCACAATCATATTTTCAAGGAAATTATAATACATGTACATAGTACTTAAAGTACTTATGAATGCATTTTTTATTTTTCACTTAATATTTTGCATGAATTGATATAACTTTGAAAGATTTCATTTAAGGACAGATGATACAAACAAAAATGGATGCCTGGATTGGTATATATTTTTTGACCTAATGTCATTGAAAATAATGCAAATAATAAATTTCTAGAATATATTTTTAGAATTTGTAAACCTTCTGTGATGTTCAAAATCCTGCCTCTCTGAAACCATCCTTATTCATCTATACAAATATTTTTCACTTAAAATCTCATTTTTGTGAAAATTTGAATAAAAAAATAAAAACTACGCATTGACATGTTGTCATTTTACTCATTAAAACATGACTAGGTTGTTAATTTCATATCTTTTGACAACAGTTTGATTGTATCATCTGTCCTTAACGGATTTTAAATTAATATATAATACTTCGAAGTAACTTTTCATCATTAAATTTTTAAAGAAATTTGATCTCATTGCTTTATTGGTATGAAGAGACCCTTTGCTCTATGTACTCCACAAAATATTCAAATTACATACTACTATACAATATTCCAAAGATAAATATTCTTCTTCAGTCTTCATAAATCCCCCCTCTCCCAGAGAATAAGTAATTTTTATGTTCTAGTACACGTTGTTATTGAAAAAAAGATATTTTTGAGAAGATTTATATGTACTTCGATCAAGCAATATCATACCTGAAGTGGTCTCCGTACACCATACGTTTGAAGAGGGTCGTTGTGGGAATCCTTAACCAACTTTAAGTTCTCGAATGCCTACAAATCAATTATAATGTATCAAAATACATCTGCATCTGCTTAATTAAAATATAATTATAAAGAATTCTGCATGAATAACACATACTCTTTTCGACACTTTAATTGGACATTTGAAGACAATCCATTGAACAGTTTCGTAACATGGCGGTGTGGTCAAAGACCCAGCGTACGTGTAGAACCTTTGATCATATGGAAGGACATCTGTTGGTGAAATCCCACAATCCACCTGCACATGCTCCTCAAGGTCAGGGTTATTCTTCATACAATTACTGTAGAAGAAGTCTAAATCTGGCGTGTCTCCACACTCATACAAGGCTAAATTTATTTGGTGATAAAAAAGAAAAATAACTGTGAAACGACACTGAGGATAGTTGCACAAAATATGTAAAATTTGAAGATTTAGAAATCAAAAAGTCTAAGCTTGCTCCGTTTTAAGCACATACATTTATGTGTTTTTGAAGATTCAAGCAATACTATCATGTAACATTTACATTAACTAGAAGGGACAACTTTTTAAAGTTTAGCTTATATGGTGTATTTATGTTTTTCCTGCATATAAATATTGGTTTTTATTAAATCGAGATCAATAACATTGCTTTATTTTAGAAATTAAAAAAAATTCTGTAAATCGTTCATGTTTTCATCTGGCGATATAATTTCTTCGATAAAATATAATAATACATCCAAGTTACACTTAAAATAAGCAACTCACGATAATCAGAATCCTCTTTTATGAAATCTTCTGGCGCAATCGGATTATGTTCCCGAATTTCCTCGTAGTATTTTTCCATGAGATAACTTAAGGTTTTTGCAAATCTCACCTTGCACTTTGAATGCTTTTTTTATTAATGAAAAAAAAACTATTAAAGTAAGACGAATTAGACGATACAAACGATTTTTTTAATATCCTTTATCACAAAACTGTGGAAGTGCCATTTTAATATTTCCATTCTTTTTGATATTATTTCTTCCTTTTGTTTTTATTTAAACACCATGCATCGAAATGCACGTGTCCAAGAAAGCTACAATTTGATAAAAAAAAACTTTCTGAACCATTTAAAGAGATTTCATTCTTACTCCATTATAACACTTTTTACTGTACTCATCTTCATTTTTATCTTCATTGTTTGATGAACAATCACGGCTGTACGTGTACCTTCGATCCTACAATAAAGATTTCCTAAAAGTACATTACACCGATATCTAAAGGAATCAAAAACTAGTTAACCCAAATCGATGCTTTTCAGAAAATAGCAGTTTTTTTATCATGTACTTAGTATAGTTATTAGTCTTTTAGAAGATAGTGCCTTGGGATTTAATGGAAATGACTGATTTAGTTGCTTTTTCTAATCCTAAACTGATTAAAATCTTAATTAGCTGTTAGAATACCTTCCGACCATCCTCTTTTTCATCATTATATTCGTCCTCTGTTTCTTCATCCCCTTCTTTCTCGTCATTATCATCATCACGGTCATCATCATCATCATCATCATCATCATTATCATCATCTTTCACCTTTGGTACAGAAAAAGAGGAAAAATCTTAGCTCGAAGATAAGATTTAGGGGAAAAAATTGAGATGAAATGATTATGTGATTTTAAATGAAAAATATCAGCTATAGAATAAATATATTCTATTTTAATACGCAACGATTGTTACCTTTAAAAATTATTTTTAAGCAATTATTTTTTTTTGTTATTAACTCTACTTTAAGCCCTATTTCAGAACATTCATCAATTTGTTTAAAAAGAAAAAAAAATGCATACTTTATGAGATTCATTGTGCATTACACTGACCTTAACTTTCTATTAAATGTTTATTTTAAAACAAATCGCTTGGCAAGCCATCAGTGAGTCATTAACTTGTTTGTTATATTGCACCAGCTTGTTCTGTTTCTAAAACTAAATTTCATTTTTGCATAATTTCTTTATTTCTTACTTTTATCATCACACCTATTACAACAAGACTGCCAGGTACTGGTTTCGCCATAGAAATATTAGTATATGTCCTATCATAGAAAACCATGTGTCCCTGAAAGGTGACAAATTAATAATTTACATTATTGTCTAAGAAAGTGTTATCAATGTAAAGTATAATTGAATCTTTTCCTAAATAGTATCGGTTTGATTTAATTCAAATTGATTGGATCGTACCTCCATAGGATAGAATTTGTTATCGATGCTGTGTTCCGATCCTTCGTGGTTGTTCACTTTTGAACCTGAGAGGTCGCGATTTTTGGTTCTTGTATCTGTCTCCCTCTGCTTCCCAACATGGATATGAAGCTGTGCAAAGATGAACTGCTTGTTTCCCCTGTAGGGAACATTGGTCAAGATAATATTGTTGAACCAGCTAACTTTGTCTACGTGAACATCAAAGTGGGGAGAGTGTCCTGTAAATGAAATTAAATGAAAAGCAACATGTTATTTCATGAATAACGAATTACATATAAATAATAAGCCCATGAGTTATGTTACACCAAAACACTTTCGTTATATTCAAATCATATTTATGAAGATTTTTTTAAATGATGATAAATTCTGTTATGTATTTTCAGTAAGATGTTTCTTATTTTTTAACTTTTTTTTCTTCCGATTTAAAAACCACGGAACATGTCATGTTTGATTAACATAAATGTCATGTTTTCTTTCAACAGTTGACACGCTGTATTAATCTTTGAGTGATACAACATTACTCTGCCCTGATATTAATTTTAAATTTTAAAAATTCTAAAAATATGCCAAACAAAATTAAGTAAATCCCATTTTAATTCCGGCAGCTCCCGATGAAAACAAATCCACTTGTTAATACGCTTAAGGTACATAATAATTATAAAGGTTGCAAATAAATGCTTTACTTGTGCCTCAAATTTTCACATCCTGTCAAATACCGAATATGAAAAAGAAGTACACATTCAATTCTATGATCACTTGCAAAAATTTAGAATGCATTCAAACTTTTAAAAATTTAAAGATTAGAAAGATAAAATAGCTTATGTGTAAGACGATATTTTCTGCACTCTGGATTGATTTACAATAAATTTAGGAATAAATTTACGAACATTTGTTTAAAAAAGAACGTATATTTAAAGTCAGTATCTCTGCCTGTTTATAACCTACCATTATTAGAAATGATTGCAGGAACTCTTTTATGCTTGTTCCACAACTGAATGTTATCAAAATATTCTCTCTTAGCTTGATGGGTGTCAATGTTTATTGGAGACTGCCTGTGTTCCGACCCACAAGTCGACCAACATTCGTGTACCTCGCACCATTTAGATGGACCTGTAAAGAAGCTTCTTTATATAAAATGATTGTGTTAAACATATAGGATACACATGTCAGTGGCTGATGTTACATATACATTATTCATGAAACAAATACATATACATTAAGTCCCTGACTGTAGTGCTACTGACTCTCATCTTATAAGCAATAATTTTTTTCCAAGAAACAAACTCTCTTTGACAAAAGAAAATGCTTTTTCGACTAGTTGTGGTACTAGTAAATGCATTTATTCTAAATACCATGTTCTTCTGAACTGCTGTATTTATTTAAAAAGACAAGATTGACATTATTTGGAACAAATCCGTCTTGTATGTGCTATTTGGCGAAAAAAACAAGCTCAATGTAGTCAGAGGAGTGTTTTATCCTAGGAATGAAATCCAAATTAATATTAAGATAAATATTAATTTCCCATCAACAGAGGATAACAAGATGCTGGAATTTACGATATCAAAGTTGTGTTTGGAGAAAAAGTCTTCTAATCATCTGTTTGAATTGGTGTATGCACTCATTGTGCCCCTTTATAAGCCGACTTGATATGTTCCTTGAAGTAGATACTAGTATATTAAAAATTTTCTTATTGGAAGAAAACTTTGATATGACTTAAACTCGATATTCAGATATTTCAATGACGTTTTATCAATTTTAAAACAATTGTTATATCCACTCATCTGTTTACTCGATTTTTCCCAAAGCACCTGAATTAAAAGATATGCTCTAGACACCAGTCGATATGTTATATACCTGAAACATTAATGCAGTTATGTTTCAACAGGCTTTTGAGTTTGCAATTTAAGCAAATAAGCAATCTTCGGATACGATACAAATGAAAATTATCGTAATAAATAAGAAAATATACATTACAAATAAGAAATTACATAATGCAAATTAAAAATATGGAAAAACAAATAAATCCAAGTAAAAAGATGATTTTTTTACAATACAATTGAAAAAATACTATAAGAATGTAACATCATATTATTAAAAGTAAAAAAAAAATAACCATAAACGAAAAATTATACTAAACAAAAGAAAAATTATTGCATTGCCAATGAAAAAAACCCAAAGCAAATAAAGAATTATACACAAAATACATAAAAATGGAAAATAAAACAATGACATATAGGGAGATAATAATCAGCATTCAAACTTAAAAGTTCACTAATGTAAGCCAGAAGCAGAGCAAACAGGCACATTCTAAAATATGAAAGGTTGGATCAGCTGCCATAGAGAAGTGAGCATCCCCTGCCGACCTGCCACATCCGCAGTATGTCATGATTGTCAATTCAGTGTGTAAATAATGGTCTAACAATATGAATAAAAAACGTATGATAGCATTTAAATTAATGGTAGATTATATTTGCTGAAAAGGTCATTGTATCGACTAAAAGACTTATAAAAATGGAAAATAAAATGGAAAACTTTACAATGTAGATGGTAAACATCGAAAATTGAAACGTTTTTTCATTATATATGTAACTTTCAAACTTTTGAAAAATGGTTATATGTATAATATCATGTTCTTCGTTTCTTATCCATCTTTTTTGTGCATACTACGTGTAGTCATTTGTATCATAAAAATACATACTAATAACACAAGGCAAAGTTAATGATAAAGAGGACTAGAAATCTTGATAATATTTATGCTTGTATTTTTGCAAACTATAGCAATGCTCTTTTTGGGGTTTTAGAAAAGTAGAAAATTGTTAATTTCTATTTTAAAGTAATTATTTAAGAATTAATTTGAATATTGATATAATGACATACCCTCACAGTCATTTCTGTCGTAGCTGAAGTGGGCAGAATTGATGTTTTGGTAGTGACACTGTCCCTGTGATGCTGGACGCTTCCCAATGTATCCTGCTGTTTGAATTTCCCCAATTAAACACAGCCCCAGAACAACAGGTAAATAAAAACGCCCCATTATCACCGCGCTTAAACGTGGACAAAATGCAGCTCTTATATAAAGTTTCATAACCACTTGTCTAATATATTTTTAATTATAAAAGGAAAGAAAATTCATTTTGTTAAAACTAAATTTGACAAGCAGAAGATGAACATGGCGCAACTGTTGTTAGAAAAATATTTCTGATCAAAAATTGTTAAAATTGATCGTTATAGCGTTTGAAAAATGCTTGCATTAAAATCTTTTTTTTACTAAGCAGATTGACGTAATATTCCATTTTTGTCGCTTTGAAATTTTAAGATTTTAAAATGCATTCTATTAATAACGTTATCAAATAAGAACAATGGTTGCTTTTTTTTCAAAATTTTAAAGTTTGAAGCAGAATGCATGTAAAATACTTAAATAAATTAATTTCTTTTTACAAGTAGAGTAAACCAATGAAAAGCAATAGAAAATTAATTGCAAATTTCATATCCACCCGAAGAGACTTAACAGTTAAAAAATAGTTGCTAGACATTACATGTTTCCTTTTTTTCTGTGTTGTAGAGCTGTTCAATATAAAAACTTATGAAGTAAAAATGTAAATAAATAGGGTTTAGAAGCATAATTTTAGTGCTAAATGTTTTCGTTTATATCTGTTTTGTTTTTATACATCTGAACCTTTTCTTTGTCTTTTGGACGAGACACAGAGTGTGCCTATTTGACATTTATAATTTTTTGTGCTCTTTGAAAGTTTTAATGCTTTATATGAAAATTCCATGGGATGCATGTACCTTGTACCCATTTAATAGATTCTACATCTCAGTGTTGTAGGTTTTTGTGCTTTTTTATTTAGATTCTATCATTATTGATACATTTAAATCTTAGCGAGTAACCGAGACAAACCCCCCTCCCCCTTAATTTTATTTTTTATTCAAACTTTTGAATATGACGTATCATATTCATGAAAAGAATATATATATATGCAATATTTATTTCAGAATACATTCTCCTTGAAGAAAAAATTATTTTATTAATATTCAAAAAGATTACAAGAAATACACAATTGGTTGACAATACAATTTGTATGTATGTTATTTATAATGTGCATTGTACATGAATTTTATTTATGTATTTCCAATTTTTATTTTGACTAGAATACCTTAGCACCACTTATTTCATAATTCCTGTAGATGATTGACAAATTCAACAATATTCTGTTTTCATAAAACTTCCCAGTTTTGTGCTTCATATTGCATTTGATCACTGAGGTTTAAGAGTTTTCTAATGGAGAGGTGTCTTAAAACACTTTATTTAAAAATAACATGAATGTCTTGCACGTTTCATTCATCTCGAATGAACATATAACTTGATTCCATCTGTGGGCCGCATAACAGCAGCTATCACCTTTTCCACATGGTGTTCTTTGTCCAGTGTAAAAGATAACCTAAAAATAAATATCTAGAATACAAATGCTGAAATATACATAGTAGAACTGAATAGGATTACCAATTTTATTTAATAAATCTATAAAACATGATCTTGCTGATGACAAAATAAAAATCTAACGCATGGTCGTTAAAAAGTTCCTTGCTATAGGCTATTGTCTGAGTGAGGTATTAAAAATTAGTATTAATCAATCAGATGATAGGAAAGGTGAATGCTTTTTAAAGAAAGAAAAACAACTAATTTTTGGTTCTTGAATACAGTTTGACTTTATGAAGGTTTAATCACACACTATCTATTCCTGCTAGACAAAGATACTCACTTTTGCAAAAGTGTCGCTAAAACTATTTTTTCCTCGTTCATTGCAAAGTTTTGGCCAATGCAATTTCTGAAGAAAACAAATGAAATGAAATGAAAGATGAGTTAATTGTTATTTCAATTTCTACATGAGCACAGCAAATAAAAATGAATTCTAGAAACTTTTTATATTAAGTTTTAAGTCATTCTATAGTCTCAAACACAAACCTAGGTCCTGCAGAAAATGGACAAAATGCAAACGGATCTCTTCCTTCTGAATGTTCTTTAGTGAACCTCTCAGGTTTGAATTCCATGTGATCTTTCCCCCAGACTGTTGGGTTGTGATGCAGTGAGTAGAAGTTTAGGAGTATTATGCTACCTGTGGGAATTTCACACTCATCTACCTGGATTGGCTGGCTGTTAACTCTAGAGACCCCAGGGACAGGGGTGTGAAGCCTCATTCCCTCTTTTATACAAAGAGTAAGATATTTCAGTTTCCCTAAGTCTTCCCTGACAATAAAAACAATATTAATGATTAAGACTATAAAGTGATATTTTTCAAGTTGAGCAACTTTCTTTCTGAAATTCCTTGAATTCCTTGAATCTGTCCTCCTAACTGTTTCCTGTTGAAAGAATATAAGCCCAAATTTGACAATGTGTGATGCCTTTCAAAAAGTTTTATATATCTTTTTTTCTCCAAAATCTTAAATAAATATCAATACCTAGAATTTTTTCTGAAAAATCTCTATTTTATCCAACTTATTTTATTGATTAAATTTTTTGAAGGGTATATGTACATATTTATAGAACATATTTTAAGGTTTTATTTTACTTCTCTCTTTAATGAATTATAAGAATCTCATAAATTGTATGCATTTTATTCTCCCTTTTGATTCGTCCAAATATAAATTAATTAAGTGTTAAATAATCAACAAACAAATGTGCCATAAACAGGATGCAGCTCGCTAGCTCTTAATTTTCAATATATAAATAATCTAAAGATACCTGCCAATTCCAAATCATCTACAGAAGATTCCATTTGTATATAGTCCATTTTTTTTTTTACAAAATGTTCTTAATACACAGTGTACCTACTACCTAACTTGATATTCAAAGAACCGAGCGAGCTTAGATAAACGCCCAACCCTGCGAACTGCTATTTATACCAACAAATCACGTGACCCTAATTTCGAACACGCGACAACTACGGCCGCACATAAGTATAATTATTATACAAACGCCTTTCCTGCAATGTATGGAAAGAAACAAAACTGTAAACCTAACCATTTGGAGTTTTTTTTTTAATTAAATCAATTCAAATATTTAATAAATATTTCAAGATATCTGGAAATAAAAGAAAGATTAATTACCATTCGAGTTCCCCAGACTTGGTTTCACTAACAACCCTGTCAATTTCCTCCTGACAGCGTTTTTGATGCTCGGGATGCTCAGCCAATGAATATAGAATCCACGAGATGGCACTAGCCGTAGTATCATGTCCTGCAGATAAAATGTGTCAGATATAGGATACTTTAACTATGATCTGACCAAACTGGAAAAATTGAATACCACTCACCCTCAAATAAGAACGTGTCCACTTCGTTACGGATGTCTTCTTTTGTCAACCCCTCTCCATTTTCATCCTTAGCCGTTAAAAGTATATCAAGAAAGTCCAGATACTTTTTGGATGACAAGTCCTTGTTTTCCTATCCAGAAATTAAAATTCTTAAGGAAAAAAGGTAAAGGGTATAAAGGGTAACATTTACTACAATAAGATATGAATTAATCTTTAAGTGGTAAATACATGTACGTTTCGATTTCCTCGTTTGCATAAAGTATTTAGAATAAATTTAAATTATTTAAAATAAAAGAAGCTGATTAAATGTTAAAAATGCCAAGTTCAGCAAATAATATTCATTAAGAACCTTGTCAAAATTTCCGTTGAAAACTTTCCTGTAGACATATAAACATGAACAATAGATAGATTCGCAAATGGATTTATAAATGCTAGTATTTTTTGTTTCTAAATTCATGGCATGATTTTGAAAAATTAGCTTTTCATTTCTGCCCTTGTACATCTAGATGGACCCAATTGGTTCCCATTTAAATAGGATCAGTCTTAAGACTTCTAATCCAATTACGCTTTTTGGGAACAATTGAGTTGAAGTAATTATCAATCCCAACCCTACGAAAATGTTGACATACTATTTCTCGACGTCGCTTGTTTATAATATCTTCTGCCACCTTATGAACATAGTCACAATTTTCCTTGAACTTTCGTCCTTGTTTCGTTCTGTAGAATATGAAATCTGAATGCAGCCAAGGCGACCTGCAAGACGATACAGGATGTATTAAATAAAAAATATGTATGAATATGCACATATTTACGTCATAGTGTATAGCTAAAAAAATATCTGGAGCAGGCATCAATATCGATTTTAAAAAGATACGATATACTGACTGTAAGCTTAGAAACTATACGGAGTGATGCATTTGGATAAGCAAAGAGAGCTGCCTTTATGTACTAGTACACAGACAGTCAGCTTCACAAAATGATACATGTGCAATTACCACAGAGAGTTGACTAAAATAATTAATTCAGAATGTACCTATATGATTATGAAAAAAACTTACTTATTTCTCAGAAGCCATTGTATAGCTATCTCTTGAACTGCAGTTACGTAAGGATGAGTGTTCCCTCTGTTAAACAAAACCAGATTATATAATTCGTCTTCGTTTTGGAATTTCCTCTAAATAAATTTCTTCTGTTGTACACAATTTGTAAAGGTAAAGTTGTATTTAATTTAACATTCAAAGCTGAATAGACTTTTGTTTTTACTAAATAAAAAATTTAATACTTTTCCTTTTTGGATTTATTTTGCTGTGAGCTAATCAAGCCCCCTTTAAGGTTACTTTAACGATTATCATGCCTCTATGTTATATATTCCTTGCTACATGATTATACTTAACAATAGAAAAGAGTGTTGTTTTATGTTAAAAAACAAATTCGAAATCAGAATATCTATTTCAGAAATCATTTTATTTCGAATAAAAATTAATGATTCTTAAAGACACCTTATTTCCTGACAGTCTGTTTTGTAAGAGAAGGCGCATCTGAGTATGATGTCCAACGTACAGGAGCTTACAAGATTGTAAATTTCAATACTTTTTCCCGTATCACTCTGTTGCATGAGGTTTCTCTAGCGGACAATAAAATAGCAGAGCACATTGAAAAAATCTTGTGAAGAGAGCTATACATGTATACCTGCTGTCTGATCTATATGTTTCATATCATAATAATGTTCAATTCGAAAAAAAAATTACAGTATCAGAAATCTCAGAAATATTGAAATGTTACAATTAAGAAATCTATGCCTATGTCCTGCTAGACTTCATGTAAATTAAATTTTAGTTAACCAGTATTTGGGTTAAAAGGATCATATCGAATAAGACCTTAGAGCAAACTTTTATAAACATAATCATATGATCTTCTTGGAAAAAATTACACTGTATATACTTTAAAATGTTATCTTTAGTACATTACCATTAATAACTCTGCACAGCTTTTATAGATTTTCACGTAGGGTCTCAAAATGTCAAAATGAAAGGCAGGTGTAAGCATGCGCCTTGATCGCCTCCATTTTCTGCCACTGGAAATCAGAAGTCCCTCCCCAAGCCAAGGTAAACCGTGTCTGTAAGGCTCACCAAAACCGACAGGTTTAGGATCTGGAATGTACGTTTATCCAGTATTTGATATCTATCAGTCATAAACATTCTAAAGTAATCTAATTTAATTTGTGTAGCATGTTCCAGGTACCTGAAGTGACGAGAACTTTTTTGATAGATTCTGGGTGATGAAGAATTACGCGAACCCTGGTTGGTCCAACCCATGTAATGAACATTTTTGGAAATTGTGCAGTCCATTCCAAAATTTTGTCTAATCTAGAGGTTTTGCCTGCAAACTTAACACAATATTTTGAAACCATCAAGTTTTTTTTTTATTTCCAATGTTCTGAAATATATCACATAAAACAGAATCTATGCATAATATAGTATATGTCCCTGAAGCGACAGATGAAGAAAATTAATGCAAAAATCAGTTTGATGATAATCTTTCCCAACACTGCTTCATGTATATCAAATCATTTAATTCAAGTGTCACTTTATCATTATGCTTGTTAAACCACATGCATCAAAGTTTAGGAATGTGTTTGACTGGCATATAATCTTGAAGTCAAGCAGGTAAGGTAGAACTCTTACCTGTGTGATTAAATAAAAACAGCGGATTAAGTGCGTATAAACCTCTATCTACTGTAACCACACTATATCTAATGTTTACGTGATGAATCAAAAGGTCACTAAGGAGGACAGACATAGGGAATGTTGTTATTGCTTTTATAAATTAAGTAACAAAACGTTTGCATTTATCAATATGAAATTTAATTTAATTTTATTTAATTTGGATTGTCACTGTCATGTACAAGTTAACATGGTAACAACTTCTGTGCAATTAAAATTTCCAAAGTCGATCTATAGTAAATAAATCCAGATCGAAAGAACTAGTTCAGCTATTTAAAAGTCTACTAGAGTATTCAGTGAAATATTAATTACATAATAAGGAAATCGATATTCAATTTTTAAAATGAAATAAGATAAATATTATAATACAATGAACAATTTAAATACAATAAAATAAAACTTACTATAAGTATATGACCGAATAACCAATGCCTTTCCTTTACCGGTTCTGGGAATCCCCTGAATGAATTCCAGAGATAGACAAGACCTTTGATATATTTAGTTGTAATTATGGCTAAGTAAGTTAATATCAGTACCAATAGGATATTTGTCCATTTTCCGCTCAGTAATTCACGTGCTTGTAATATCTCCATCTTCAGCAAGTATGATAAAGTATGGTGTGTCGTTAAAGTAAAATTTCAGTGGTACATGCATTTGTGTTCATGATGTATAACTTTATTTTTTTTAAATGTATGCGCATCTTAGGCATGCGATGCATTAAATCCTATAAACAGCCATTCTGCCTCATTTTGTCATGAAAACAAAATAGTATATCATTTGTTAAAAGGTGCTTTTATCCAACCAATCGCATCGTCTCGGATCTTTCCGTTGAAGGTTGTTTTTCTACTAGTCGGAAAGGCCCGAGAAGTTGCAACTGATTATCCAATATATTCATAAATATGACTGCGTCCAGTTCCGATTATTATACTCACCTGCTTGAAAGCGGGAGGGTATATAGTAATCGGTATGTCGGTCCGTCCGTCTGTCTGTCCGCCTGTTACGCTTTGGGGTACCCATTTCTTATCCGCAACTTCTCTCATACCACTGAATGAAATCTGATAAAACTTTCACATAATTTTTATTACATATTACCATTTTGCACCTCCTATTTTGATCCGACACATATTATGAGTTTTCCATAGCAAAAACATGGACACTACCATTATTAACGTAATTGGGAGGCGGGGGGGGTATCATTTTGTGAGGTCATTGCTCACAGTACCTCTACTTATGGTATTTATGTTTTCCATTAGATTAAAAAGAACATACATGTAGTATTTGTTATATGTGGTTTTGCAGAGGTAAAACATTTATGTATAAAATCATCTATCAGTATTGACTATGAAAAATGAAAAGTCCATGCGGCTTATTTTTCCCTTACGCTTGTTAATCTTTTTCTTTGAAGATTCCAATCATAAATCACAACATTTGAACAAACGTAGCACTTTATTTTGGATTGAAATTAGATGATATTTCAGGCAGAAATTATCAAACATAACAATTAAAATACGATTAATTAATACTAGTAGTTAAATTTCAACAGTTCATCTTGGATGTGCAAATAACTTTATTCCCTCTTTGGCTCGCATAACTGCAGCTATTTGCTTTTCAACATTGTGTGTTTTGTCCACAGAAAAGTCAAATCTGAAATAAAAGATATTCATTAAATATGTACAGTTTTCAAAATTACATGCATACACATGCATTTGAAATTACAGAATTTTATATTTACTTTTGCAAGAGTGTTGCAAGAACAATCTTCTCTTCGCTCATGGCAAATTGCTGTCCAATACAGTTTCTGAAACAAAGATAATAGACTAATGATAATGGTCTAAAACTATTGCCATATTAAATAAAATCTTTTAAAAAATACATCAATTTTCTACCTGGGACCGGCAGAAAATGGACAAAACGCGAACGAGTCTCTCTTTTCGATGTTTTCGCGCGTAAACCTCTCGGGTTTGAATTCCATGTGATCCTCTCCCCATACTGTTGGATTATGATGCAGGCTGTGTATGCTGATTATTATGTTCGTTTTTGCTGGAATTTCAAAGTTGTCAATTTTAACTGGGGCTTGATTTTCTCTGAGGATTCCTGGTACTGGCGAATGAAGCCGCATTCCTTCTTTTATGCACATTGCAAGATATTCCAGTCTGTTAAGGTCTTTCCTTAAAACATAGAAACATTAGGATATATCAAAGCAATTTTTTTTTCATGAATCATTTTATCAAAATTGCTTATGATCATTTTATTTTGAAAAAGGAGAAAAATATATTCTTGGTCTGCTGTTAGCAAATTAAAAAAATTTACCACTCGAGTTCTCCAGATTTTGTCTCACTGACAACTCTTTCAATTTCTTCCTGGCATTTCTTCTGACATTCGGGGTGTTCGGCTAATGAAAACAGGATCCATGAGATGGCACTAGCTGTTGTATCGTGACCTGCAATAATTTATCACTTTTTAATCAATTACTTTTATGACAAGCTGTCCTAAAACATCAGTATAATAAAAGAAGCAAATCCAGTCGCTATATGAAAACACAATCATTTTGAATACTAGTAAATCATATATCTTTTATAAGTCAAGGTACAGTGTACATATAGAGTGAAACGTGATATAAGAAACTAAAAAAGATGACAAAAATTATCGAGTTAAAAAATTATTCTTAGTTCAATTATAATTCTTTAGCACTTCCTAATTCATTTGAAATTCCATTCACTGAAAGTTTTGAATTAAAAAAATGTTCTGAGTAAGCATTAATAATAGTATTACATGTAAAATATTATAGGATTAAACGTTCTTTTTTCAGAATTTATCGATGTGTAAACTCTGCCTTTTTACTCACAAACTGAATAAAAGTGCGAAGCACTTTTATGTAAAGTTTGTGAGTAAAAAGGCAGAGTTTACACATCGATAAATTCTGAAAAAAAGAACGTTTAATTCTTATAATTCCAATTACGAATTTCTAAAATTATTAAAATTATTTCTCTTTGAGGCCGCCATACAATCCGTTATTTTGTACGGCGTAGGAATACTTTATGCCGCAAAGAAAGGTATACAAGATGAATATCGATAAAATCCAACTTAAATTGTCAAAGCAATCAATAAATAAACTTATAAAAACTCATTGAATGTTGTTTAAGTCAACAAATATCGTAAATACGTGTATTCTCCAGAATAATTCGTCCTTGACCATGGCCATGTTGACACTAACGACAACGCTCATAGCGAAAGTTGTAGACAGACGACGTCCTCGATCTGCTCTGGTTTGTTCAAAGATTTAGGGAGAATACGGGATCTGTAGGATGTAAATATATGAAATTGAAGCTGATAAGGCAAGAGTCTGAGGTAGGCCTACGTTTCTTTTCCCTATCACAACGATTCCAACTGAGATGATATGGAACGTCGAGAAAATGACAGCATGATCAGCGATTTTTTAAAATTCACACTCGTGATCCGACAGTGACATAAACATATTCCCGTCTGTCAGTCCTGTTTATTTCCTGTTTTGCTTTTTTTTATTTCAAGTTTCTTGTAATCATAATTCGGCTAAAAGGGACTAGAAGTATCTGTTGTCATTATTTTTACAACAGCCTAGAAGCTAGGTCAAGAAACATGAGAAAGTAGTTCTGATTGAAAAATTCATCGATGTGTAAACTTTTTCTTGAATTTGTTCTCGTCCAATCAAAACACAGGGAATCAATAAATAAAATTAAGATTGGAATTATGACGCAATATATCGACATTTTTAAAGGAAAGTTACCTTCAAACATAAACGTATCAACTTCACTGCGCATGTCTTCCTTTGACATCATGTTTCCATCTTCATCCTTTGCTGTCAGCAATATATCCAAAAAATCCAAATATTTCTTTGAGGAAAGGTCCATAGATTTCTGTTGAAAAAATTAAAACCTTGTGTAAAACATCTTATTTAAAAAAGTTCTAAACAGTTAATCATAGTATTACACTTTATATTAAAATTTTGCATTTACCTCCATCCATCAAATTCAAAAAATTTTGCATTGTAATAATTCCTCAAAACGTACCAGATCTTTTCGTCTTTTGTCAATTACATCTTCTGCTACTTTGTGAACATAATCACAATTTTCTTGAAATTTTTTGCCGTCTGATGTTCGATAAAATATAAAACCAGGATGAAGCCACGGAATCCTGAAAAAGAAAAAAAAATAAATATATGAAATTAATTGTCTAGTATATGTTCATTGCATTTATTATTGAGTAATACAATTACTAATAATTATCAATCTGTTTTTTGGGGACGCATCTCAATCCATCTGCTAGAATTAATTGTGTATTTCACTAGAATGAACGTAATTATATTATCTATAGGACAAGCACATTATTAATATACCCCCCGCTTGAAAAGCGGGAGGGTATATAGTAATCGTTAATTCCGTCCGTCTGTACGTCTGTCCGTCCGTCCGTCCTTCCGTCTGTCCGTCCGTCCGTCTGTTACGCTTTGGGGTACCCATCTCTTATCCGCAACTCCTATCATACCACTGAATGAAATTTGATGCAACTTTCACAGAATCTTTATTACATATTGCCATTGTGTATGGAACGCCATGGCTGTCTTATGTTAGCTGACTTTATTATATGCTGTGGGTTTGTAATTATATGCTGTGGGTTCGTAATTATATGCAGTGGGTCTTTAATTATATGCTGTGGTTCTATAATTATATGCTGTGGGTTTATAATTATATGTTGTGGGTCTATATTTATATGCTGTGGATCTATTATTATATGCTGTGGATCTATTATTATATGCTGTGGTTGCATTATTATATGCTGTGGTTTCGTTATTATATGCTGTAGTTTCATTATTATATGATGTGGGTTCATTATTATATGCTGTGGGTGTATTATTATATATTCTGTCGGTTTATTAGAAACTAGCTATTCGAATCAGGACTTCTCGTTTTTGGAGTTTACTTGCTCAAAATGGCGGCAACTGCAACAGGGCTTACCGTAATAGGAATGAGAGTACCAAATCTCCGAATGAGCACATTGCTTTATTTGTGGTGCCACAAATAAAGCCATCTGCTCATCCGGGGATTTGGTACTCTCATTGCTAGCGCTCTCGAGCGCTAGCAACTACGTTAGTCCAAATTCCTTGAATACGCATGCTCGTTCTGCATTCTGGGAAAATTGTGAAAACTACCATAGGTAGACAGTACGATAACAATTTCGTTGTATCATTAAATAACTTTGTTTATTTATTGTGTAGTTTACACTCTAAAGATAACTGCATAATTGTAATACTTCAAATTTTCCCTTTTTTCTGACGGAAAAGCCCGAGTCACTAGCTCATTGTTCTAAACAAAGACAAAGGAGGTTTTTTGTTAGCGATCGGCTTCACGGTCGGGCATTCTGGGAAAACTTCACACGGTCTAGCTGTCTGTGAAAACGACCATAGATAGACTGTCCGATAACAATTTCATTGTGTCATTAAGTAGAACGGGTCTTTTCTGGTTGATTCTGAAGTTTGTTTATTTACAGTGTAACTTACACTTTGATGTAAACTACCCAAGAAAAAACTTAGGTCATATACGTAATGCAAAGATTCTAGACATCTAGCTTGCGGGTTCTACCACCTTCCTGGATAATGCCGTCAACCTCATAAAAAATCTTCTTTTTTTTTCTTTTCAAAGTTTATTGAATTGGCAAGACACAATAAGCGATTGATACTTCCACACTATATAAAATACACTTCACAAAAGATTATATCTCTAACAATCAGACTCCATACTCATTAAACATTAAAGACTTTGGCAAAATAAATTAGTTAACCACGAACCTTCCTTTCGGCGCTAGCTCGCCTATCTTTTTTTTTAAAAAATAAACTTGTTCCTATTACGGTTAGGCCTGTTGCAGTTACCGCCACTTTTGAGCAAGTATACACAACTTTTTCCCGCAATTACGTCATAGTTACAGAGCGTAGCCATCACATGTCACGTGATGCATCCGCCATTACAACCGTGAAACCCGTGAGCCGTGAAAGATGCATAAAGATGGAGGGGGGGAATCGTGCGCCGTGTTTAACTGTTTTAACAACAGGAAGAAAATTTATTTGTGGAAACATTCTCTCTGCAAAGACCACGTCGGCATTCTCCACAAAGATTGTCCCTGCATTGTGCCTTACAGCCTCCACAAGATGCCGAAAGCGGAGCCAGAGAAACTTCAATGGCAACGGGCACTACACCGCAATGATTTGCCGAAGAATGTGTTCGTGTGTTCAACACATTTTATTGATGGTCGACCAACTGCAAGAAATCCCATACCCAGTCTGTATTTAGGTTTGTTTACGACTTGAAAACTCTTCATACAACGATGTTTAAAAATAGATTTGACATTCATGTAAAGTTAAAGTAAGCTTGCAACAACGCATTCACAAACAAGGCGCTACTAGGCATAAAAATGATAATATTTATATATTATGTATAGTGACATATTTCTGCTTTCAACATGGAAGATAAATTATAAATGTGAACATGCAAGAAAGTTATGTATACATGCAAGATAATTATGTTGACATGCAAGTTACAAATCTTTTATAGGAATCTGATTTAAATCATAGGTGCTCCCCATGTAATTCTGTAAATGACATGTAAATGTAAACATGTCTACATAATTAACTCGCTGCCGCATGTTGACATAGATAAGTGGCATGTTGACATAATTATCTAACATGTTGACATATCAAAAAATGTCGCATGTCTACATAATTATGTTGTATATTGCATCTAAAATGTCAGATACAGACGTTAGTAAGTAAAATTACCCATATATAAATTATATTTCTTATAAGATTGGTAAATTGCATGTCAACATAATTAATTTGCATGTTGACATACATATGTTGCATGTTAACATGATTTATCTTGCATGTAGGGGGCAGAAATATGCCACCATAATTATGCCTTACTAGTAATACGTTTTGAAATAATTTGTAAATGTAAACACAAATCATAATCTATAGTATCTAGTTTACATGCATTCATTATATTTTCTCTGGTTTTGATATGCACATACTCTATGTAATGGTAAGAGGGTCGTTCGATACAACCATTCCCCTTTATTTATCTGTGCTGTGATCTACAAGTTAAATGCTGCTAGATTTTTTCTATTCAATGTGCACCAAAAAATAACTAAAAGTATAAACCATTTATTTTAAAGTTTTTTGCCGGGAGGAGGGGATGAATATTTATTTTATAAGTATCAATCATTTATAGAATTTTTTTACAGGTTATGAAGCTCCCATAAAAGTTGGTCGTCGACTTTTGAAAAGGAAGTCTGTCACAGAACAAAAGACAGATGGGTATGTTTGAATCCAAATAATGAAAGAGCAGAGATAAATATATATTTTGTAGTGCTGCCATTTAAAATAATTTCAGAAAATTGATTGATTGATTGTATGTTGTTAAACGTCCCATGAGAGAATTTTTCACTCATATGGAGACGCCACCACTTGCCGGTGGAGGGCCACAAATTTTGTCCTATGCTCGGCACTCAGGGCCTTTGAGCAGTAAGGGATCTTTTTCGTGCCAGCACCTACTGCGACACGGGGCCTTGGTTTATACAGTCTCATCTGAAGGACCGGTCTCCACATCCTGCAGTGGGATTCGAACCTGTGATGTAAGGATTGACTCCTTACTTCGGGACTCTAGAGCAGACGCTCTAACCACTGCGCCACGCGGGCGACTATTTCAGAAAATTAGATATTATTTTGAGAGATACCTGACAGCAACAGATTAGTTCCCCTCCCCACTTCCAAATTTAAATTAGTTTGTATGAAAGGTTACTGCGACACAATATAACTGAGTATCACAGGACAGTTAGATATACAATTGAAAGCAGAAAATTGTTTTGTATAATGACGTAATGAATGTTTAACTTTATGTGAATAATACCAATTTATTGTATATTCTGGAAAAGAACATATTGATAACTTGGTCACTTACTAGAAATTCCACCATGCTCATTTTTGAGCGCCATTTTGTTCTGATTTTTAAAACATTTTAAGTGTTTCATTGTAAAGGGAAAATACCACTTCCGCTATCTTTTTCTGAATAGATGATATGATATGCCTACTGTTGAAACACAGGATCAATACAATTAATATATTCCTGTATCGTTACAACTTGTTTATCTATTAATAAAACTTGAAATTTATGATTTTGCCTTTATGTTTGTCAATTCTTGTATTATACTGTTAATATTTTTTGCAGGACAGAAGTTATAAAACAACAAAAACTGGCTGCTGCTGCTGCAGATGAAGTCGAAACCCTCACCATTCAGACTGAACCAAACATGACATCTTCTTCCATGCAGACGAGCATCACAGAGAGCAGAACTGCGGGCACACAGTGGACAGATCCCACATTGTGTGAACATGAATACGCAAGACCATTCCTTGCAGGATCTAGGAGTTCAGGTACACAAACAACAGTCATCAAGATGGAGGAAAAAGGTGTAAACTGCAGCACTCTACACGTACGTCTCAGTGCTACTGACATAACAACTAACTCCTTAGTATTGCTCTACACAGGACTGCCTTTGAAGACTTTTAGAACTCTTTTGCGTGTTATGGAAAATTTGAACAATCCACTGACATTTACTATGCCTGTGTCAGATCAAGTCTTACTAGTTCTTATTAAATTAAGGCTTAATTTACTGTTTGCAGATATTGCCAACAGATTTGGTATATCGGAGTCTCATGCGTGCAACATTTTTAATCAAAGACTCTCTTTTATGGCTTCAAAACTAAAAAACTTAATAGTTTGGCTTCCATCTGAAACAATTAGGGCAACCATGCCAAAGTCTTTTCGTGAGAACTTTCCCAAAACTACAGTCATCATTGATTGTGCAGAAACTTTTATTCAACGAGCAAAAAACTTGAAGACCAGAGGAGAAACATATAGTCACTACAAGTCCAACAACACTGGGAAGTATTTGGTTGGTATCGCACCACATGGTCAGATTATGTTTATATCTAAGGGCTTTGGAGGAAGGTCTAGTGATAAAGCAATAGTGGAAGAATCTGGGATTTTAAATTACCTTCTTCCTGGGGATGAAATCATGGCTGATCGGGGTTTTACCATTGATGACCTACTCTTTCCTCTAAAAGTGAAACTTAACATTCCAGCTTTTACAAAAGGTAAAGACCAACTTTCAGAAGAGGATGTTACAGAGACCAGAAGAATTGCCACGGTACGGATTCACGTGGAACGGGCTACTAGACGATTAAAGGTGTTCCGCATATTGAGTCAGATTGTTCCAGTTACCTCGGTGAAGAAACTTAGTAAATACTTGATTGTTTGTGCTGCATTGGTTAACTTAAGATCTGACCTTATCAAAGATGATGATGAGTAAATTGTGTATTGTCCCACCCCTGTACACTACTGTAATCAGTTTATACCTGTCAATTTGGTTATCTTTGCATCAGCAGGTTACAACAGGGTACATGTATTATTTTATAATAACATAATGTTTTCATGTTATTAAAATATTTGTATTAAAAAAGATACTGTGCTTGGCATATCATTATGGAGGTTTACATGAGTGTAATTCCAAAAAGTTTTATGTCTTACAAGAAATCTAAATTCAATTAGTTTTCAATCAATAGTTTGCCAAGATTTGAATATGTTAATTCAATTTTGATCACAGTCTATTTTTTTTTACACGGAAAAGTAACAAATTTCTTTTGTTCATTTAAAAAAAATACATTTGGAACTCCATTAATGTAAAGTTATATACATTCAAGTCACTTATTAAGTCTTTGCATGTTGGTCAATAAATACTGTTTAAGTTTCTTGACCTAACTATTTGAATTTACTCTTTTTTCAGGCATTGATTTTTTATGTGGCACCTAACTTAAAAAAATTGTTTACATATTATATTAAGTAATAAATGATTACCCCAGAATGAAAAGATATTTGACTTTTATTTCAGAAACAAGTTTTATTTGCATCAGTTTGAAAATTTTTCATATTTTCTACTAATCTTCAATCTTCCAGATTCAAAGTCATCAACTACTCTGGGTAAAAGTTTGTTGAAGTAAAATAAACGTAATCTTGAAATTGATGATTGACAGAACTGTTGGTTATATTGAACATTAACAATCTTGTATTCATTAGCTGTCCATATAACAAGTTTGCACAATTCTTTATGTGTAACATGCAAAGTCAATTGTATCTGAAGATAATATCCTCGTGAACTGCTCTGCTTTAGGGACAAAGAATCATTTTGCAATGATTTTACAACATCATATTTACCAGCTGTAAATAAACTGTCAAGGGTCTGGTCATTTTTTAGTATTGGGCATTTTACTTCTAAAAGACATTGTGTGCCATCGTCATCAGTTATTATTCCGTCGGGGGAAACACTGAGCCAGGGCTCTTCATCTGAAACTATAGTCCCTGCATCTTCTATTTGTATTCCAGTGGAACGCAGTTGTTGTTTTGCTAGATTTTCACCAATCTGTCCATGTTTTGTGAATTTATTGCCTTTAAAGGATGGATATAAATGCTCTCTAATGAAGTTATCACTATTTGTAGTGTCACGGATTGGAACCTTGTGAGCAGTGCTGCCTGTTATTCTAATTTTTCTACTGTTATGCCACAGTTCTGATTGACTTTGTGAAACAGTTTTATAAGATAAGGACTTGATTTGAGAATCAGTAAGTTTGATATACTTATTATAAAACTGGCAACACTTTTTACACGTTAGTTCTGCAGAGTGTTCAGTATGAGGCTCAGATGAAGGTTTGAATTGAAGAGTATCAACTTTAGCTTGCACAGATGTATTTAAAAGAGAATTTTCTACTGAGAACAATTCCTGAAGTTCACTATTTTGTACAAAATATTTAAAGGATTGATGGGATACAAACATGGGGAATACTGGTTTTGTGTTTTGTGGTTTTTCATCATTATTGTTAACTTCACTACTGTTGTATTTAGGTTTTATAAAATCCATCTCCTCAAGAATACCAGGTTCTAGGTTTCTCGTCGAGCCCTTGTTCCATTGCATTTGTTCATCGGTACAGGATTTGCCTGTTAGCCCTGACCTCACAGCATATTCAATTTTCCATAACACAGCGCCGACATGACTACACGTTTTACTGTTCCCTGCCATACATGAACAACCAGCACTAAAAATCGTGCCAACTATGTCACATATAATCCATGCATTATGAAACTCTGAATTGACTTTTTGTGAGGGGCGTACTTCAGATTTTAAAACAACTGTTGTATTGTTAATAACAAAATGTAGAATTTTCCCCACGGAACCACTTTTAAAATAATTGAAACTGTCCAAAGATTTGTAGTTTTTCATCCCTTGGCCATCACACGCCTTACTCAATATTAAATAATTGTAAATATCGCCATACTCGACTTGGGGCCACTCCCGCATATCGTCCTTCCATTCTTGTGGTTTGACATCTTTTGGCGAGGAAATAATTCGATCCTTGCAATTTTTACATTGATATTGATTCATATTTAAGGTAAACGAAAGAATTTACACGATTTTCATATATTAAATGTTGTTTGTGCGCTAATATTTACGGTTGAACAGTACGTAGTTTCATCCGTGTGTTGTTGCTACGGAGTTTGTTTATGACAATAATGCAACGTCACGGATGCAATGGCGGCTGCTTTCTGCGACCCCTATCGGGATGAAATTTTACTAAGCGAAATAACTGAAAAAAGTTGTGTATACCCTCCAAAAACGAGAAGTCCTGATTCGAAAAGCTAGTTTCTAATAAACCGAGAGATTATATGATAATACACCCACAGCAATGAACCTACAGCATATTTAATGAAACAACAGCATATAAAAAAAGAACCACAGCATATAATTATGAACCCACAGCATATAATAATGAACCCACAGCATATAATAATAGATCCACAGCATATAATTATGAACCCACAGCATATAATAATGAAACCACACCATATAATAACGAAACCACAGCATATAATAATGGATCCACAGCATATAATTATAGAACCACAGCATATAATAAGGGAAACACAGCATATAATTACAAACCCACAGCATATAATAATAGACCAACAGCATATAATTATAAACCCACAGCATATAATAATAGACCCACAGCATATAATTATAGAACCACAGCATATAATAATAGACCCACAGCATATAATTATAGAACCACAGCATATCATTATAAACCCACAGCATATAATAATAGACCCACAGCATATAATAATAGACCCACAGCATATAATTATAGAACCACAGCATATAATAATAGACCCACAGCATATAATTATAGAACCACAGCATATAATAATAGACCCACAGCATATGATTATAAACCCACAGCATATAATTATAGAACCACAGCATATAATTAAAGACCCACAGCATATAATTACGAACCCACAGCATATAATTACAAACCCACAGCATATAAGAAAGTCAGCTAACATAAGGCAGCCATGGCGTTCCATAATTGTGCACCTCCTATTTTACTTTTTGATCCGACACATATTTTGGGTTTCCCGGCCACAGGAAAACATGGACATTTTCACCAGTTATAACCATATGGGGGGCGGGGGGTATCATTTAGTGAGCTCATCGCTCACAGTACCTCTAGTTTTGATATATTTTGTTTCTATTTAAACTCTCTTGTAAATGACTAAATATATTGTTTATTTAAGAAATAAACAACAATGTTAAAAAGTTCACTGGGAAATGAACTTTTAGTTGGTACGTGATCAAATCTTCTCAGTAGATTTGATCACGTACCAACTAAAAGTTCATTTCCCAGTGAACTTATTAACATTGTTGTTTATTACCTATATTTACATTTGAAACGAATACATTTCGAGTTAAATTGTATTTATTACACGAACGGGCAAATTTATTGCTATGTAGTGACGCGCAATGACCTAGAAGTTGTTTGGTCAAAATATCACATCGCTCTGTGATCCGGTCGCGCTATGACCTCTGACCCCCAAATGAAATTCACACAGAATTGAACAGGGGATCCGGTTAGAATAGATCCTCAGTACCCCCTTGCTTGTCGTAAAAGGCGTAAAAGGATGAGACCGTATAAACCGAGGCCCCGTGTCACAGCAGGTGTGGCACGATAAAGATCCCTCCCTGCTCAAAGGCCGTAAGTGCCGATCATAGGCCTAAATTTGCAGCCCTTCACCGGCAATGGTGACGTCTCCATATCAGTGAAATATTCTGGAGAGGGACGTTAAACAGTATACAATCAATCAATCTTCAATAGGTTCATCTAAGAAAGATATTTGCAAATGTAAATATATTCATATGCACGTTTTTAATTAAAAGCGTTACATATTCTTCATCTGTAAAAATTATTACTTTCTATTTGTTGCCGACATTTAATGAAAAATCGTTAAGGAAGTCACAAACGACATGGATTATACTTGTTTTGTAGTGAAAATGAAAATTCTGGATTCATTTTTGAACGTGCGAATAATGTGCGATCCCTGCTTAAAAACGTAACGCGTTACACGCTGAAAATACCTTTTATCTGTGATGTAAAATTCTACATTTTGCACTAAAATTATTTAAATGTTATTTTCTAACTATAATCGGGTAGTACTGTTCAAAAACCTATCCATTCATACCAAAATTACCCATATTGCGAGTATATTTTTTTAAATCACCGATGAGTTTAATAGGTCATATTCTAAAATTGTAAAAATGACACCAACATCGCGCGTAACGTCAATATGAGTGAAAGATTCGATTTTCCCCAAATCTGTCTTTCTGGGATGTAGCATATATCAAACCCTTGTGATGTACATAAAAATAAAGTCCTAGAAGTCTTACCTGTTTCTGCGGGTCCATGTTGACGCTATTTCATTAACAGCTTTGATGTACGGATGCACTTTTCCGCTTAAAAATAAATATAAGCGTAAATTAAAAAATAAAAGCATTATAAATAAAATTCAGCAATTGTAGTATAACATCAGTGTTGAGAGAGAGATGTATTGATGAATTTTATACAATACACAAGGATAAAAAGGCAATTTAGACACGAAAATTGTGGGAAATTCAATATGATTAATATCTTTGAATAATACTTGTAAATCTTCAAACCTCGAATTTTGACAATCTGTTTCATACGAAAAGGCACATCGTAGTATAATATCGAATGTACAGGAACTAACTAGGCCAAAAATCTCCAGACTTGATTTCTTCTCCGCTAATGCCATCATATTTTTCTTTCAAAACAAGAAAATTAAGATTAAATATAAAATCACATTGTCGGTGGTTTGTCATTTGTGATACTGGTACTATTATGGCATCTATTGCCACTTGAATAAGAGAAAAATTACTTTTAAAATTGTTCGTAATTTATGTCCTAGGCAGATACATATATATTGTGCTTAATGATACATATTTACAATGAAGCGCATTGAAGTGGTAAAATTTTCCGTTTGGGTGAAACGTTCTGAGTCATGTTTTGAACGTCAATTATAACATAATGACACGCCCATATTTTTACAAACGAGAAAGAAATAGTCGTCGTAATGTTTTAGGACACCCCACTCTTCGTGACAAACAACATGAGTTTTATCCATTTCTAAAGAAGTGGGCGTGTCATAAGATGACAATAAACGTTCTAAAGATAGCTCAAAACGTTCCATTCACACTTCAATGCGCTTCATTGTGCAGAAGGAACGTGATACAAACAATATAATGATTTGATTCTTAATATTTCCATTTCCATTTGTTTCTCTGTGATAACTCTTTGAACGTTAAAAGAGTTGATTTTTTTTATCATTCTACCAGTGTGTAAATTTCGCCATGAAATAGGCCAAGTGCTATGGAGGCCTTATATGCTTGTAAATCTCGTGCGTCCGTCTTTGTTTATGACGCTAAAGAGTCCTAATATGCATGTACGTATATCTAGTGCGGCAGTCTTTGTGTTTGAGGTCAATGGGCGGAGACTTTTGAAATTGACTGGGAGGCCTCGTGTAATTTTAATCTTTTGGTCTACATTTTTAAAATCGAAATTTACAATTTTATTTCACAATAAAATAGAAAAATAAGAAAATACTGACTAGTTAGTAGAGTACGAGTACTAGGTTCATCAAATTTAGTTGGACACTTGGGATAATACATGCATAACGGGCTTAGCCCGTTGTGCAAATTATCACACGATTCCAATTATCGATATCGTTGATGCCCTGGCATCCTATACTATTTAGAAAGTGATTTAAATTATTCTTTTGATAAAAGAATATGAGCTGCAACTTTGATGTCGGAATTTTTTGTCGAAAAATTGTTAATTACTTTTTCAATGACAGAAAAACTAACTTAATAAACTTCTGTTGTTTATATTTGCGATCGAAGAACTATTTATAAGCTTCGGAAGGATCAAAATTACATTATTGTCGTCCTGTACAATAATGATTTCTTATAAAACTGTATATTGGATTGTATATAGAAGTCTTTCTCCTGCTTTATTTTAATCTAATTGATCATAAAGGTTTAATTTACATACAAATTTATCATAATAGCACATTTGAACAGAAAAATAAAACTTTCAAAAATGCAGCTCATATTGCTTTAAAATAAACAAGAACCTTGTGGAAAGTAGAATGACCTTGTTATCTCTGTTAAACTGAAATGTTACCACGCCGGAACAAAATCTTGACAAAGATTTAGATGCCATCACTCTAGAGTTCTTATTGAAATTTCAGAGGAAAATGCACTGTACTCGTACTGGTGTTCCAGGGGTAAAATTGCAAATATTACTTTACATTATTATTCTATAAATAAACAACAAAGTTGAAATGTTGCAAACTTAACATAAAAAATTAGAATATGTTGAATTTTGTTGATTTTTCTCAAAATAGTAATTTATCCATATTTAATATTACTATTAAAGAAGTTAAATAAAATACCACAAGGATGTCTGCGCATGATTTATAGATTTTGACGTAAGGCTTCAGAATGTCAAAGTGGAAGGCAGGAGTAAGCAGACGTCTTGAGCGTTTCCATTTTGTGCCCCCAGCAATAAGCAGTCCCTCTCCTAACCACGGAATACCATGTCTGTATGCTTGTCCATAACCAACAGGTTTCGGATCTGTATGAAAATGAAATTTGTAAGAAAGGTTATCATGGGTTAGCAACTTAAACTTTGCATTCATGCATTGTCTGTCATATTTAGAATCAGAATATTCCAATATCAAATTAAAGTGAAGTGGTACCTGCGGTTACTAAGACCGTCTTGATTGTTTCTGGGTGATTCAGCACCACCCTTGGATTTAATGGACCAAACCAGTTGACATAAATTCTTGGGTACTTCGCCGTCCATTCCAACAATTTGTCTATCATGGACTTATTGAATGTCCTTGCTGTAAACTGTAATAAACAAAAAAATTAAGGAAGTAGCGAAGTTAGTAAAGAAGTAAAGCAATACGTCATAAAAGCAATTTATCAATTTAACTCATGAGAGTATTTTAACTGATGCTTTCCGACCAACAAATAGGTTATTTTTACTTTATTCCGTTTAGCTGAACAACACAGAGGACTCAAGTAGGTGTGACCTAGCATTGTGGCTCGCTGGTCTAAAAAAGTAAGGATGGACGACCAGAAAGCTAAAGTGCCACCCACTGGGAAAAAGAGTGTATTGCGCACAAAAGTGCGCTGTTTCTACATTTTTTCACTTGCTTTCAAGAGCATTGTGCATTATCTTTTATAGCTTTCTCATTATTCAAATATTGTGGTAGAATTTCTTTAAAAAAAAAGAAGGGTAAGAAATGAGAATAAGTATAAGTACAGTTTGTAAGGGACAGAGATTTTCCAAAGTGACCACTAAATTATTAAAAGGTCCTTTCTGCCCACCATATCAAGATGAAAAGTGTAATGAAAGGTCAGAAAATATAACGATCTATTTTAAGAAATCGGCGTGAAAAGGTTAGAATGTTTAACACATGCATTTAGGACACACGCAACGTACATGCACACAAACTACAATGTACCTCCCAACAATAATTTTCTAGAGTTTCTTAATTTTAAATTGAAGTCCCAAAAGATACCAAGAATGCATGTATAGGGTTATCGAGTTTTGACCTGATATGTAAAATGATTAAAATGCTAGTATTTAAAAAAAAAAAGAAATGAATATAAATATAGTTTTAGTTGGCATTTCCCAAACATTTGATTAAAAAGAGTTACACAGTATAAGCAGGTATCATAAATTGTAAATAGGTCGTTCAATAACTGGAACTTTAAACAGGGAAAACTACGCTGCGTATGCCCTTAATCTGTAATATTTACAGGTTTTAATTAAAAGTAAATATATACATGTATACTTTACACATTGTAATATGAATACTGTCACTATTTATTGACAAAATATATACATACTATTGGAAGATGACCGAGGAGCCAGTGTTTATCTTCGAGGGGTTCCGGGAATCCACGAAAAGCAATTTTTAGCCTCATAAACTTAACAAACTGCTGGATAATAATAATTATCACAAACGCAATTGCTGCTGTTATAAGAAACCCCGACATGTTGTGAAATGAAACGCAACTAATTCTTTTGTCACTACCTATTGATAGCTAAAAATACAGTGGAACGTAAGGATGTGTAATCAAAGTAAACCATTAAGGTAACCCGTCCGTGACACTGAGATGAAACGGTGAAAAAACTCATTCAAAAGTCATGAGTAATGTTAAAGTTTTTGAAAAGTATGGTAAACTTCAAGGTCACAAGGTAAAAAAATCATAGAGATAGGGCTTATCACAGATAATACTCATGTTTAATGTGAAAGCCCTATCTCTTCCCATTCAAAAGGTGGTCAATTTTAAGTATTTAATTTTTCATAGTGGGTTAACTTCAAGGTCAAGGTCACAGGCAATAGCGTAGCGGGAACGATAACTCTGGATAGAGATTGGGTCAAAGGATAAAAAATCATAGTGTTTTAGAACGGTCTTGTCACAGGTAATACACATGTATAATATGAAAGCTCAGACTCTTCTCATTCATGACCAAGGTAAAAGTTTTTGAAAAGTAGGTCAAAGTTTAAGGTCAAAGTCACGAGGTCAAAAATTATGGTGTATTTAAAAAGGTCTTGCCATAGGTAATAAACATGTTTTATACCACAGAGTCTTGCACATCTGTTTCATATTTAGATATTTTACTTGAAAAAGACGTTAATGGTAATCTAACAACAAAGCTTTATGATAAACGTGTTGACTTAAATTTTTCTATCGTCAATCTCCCTTACTTATCCAGCAATAAACCTTCATCACCTGCATACGGAGTTTATATATCACAGCTAATTCGATATGCAAGGGCATGCTCTACGTAACGAGGTAAATTTGATGATACAAGAATATCAGCAGTCTCGTTTAAAGTTGTCATTTCGTTAGTTCTATGGTTGGTACAATGAACTTGTCAGCAAATACAATTTATTATTGAGTCAAATACTGACATTTTGCAATCTAATTGTTAGTCCATTATTTGTACACTGAATTGAAGACGGATTTTCCCGTTAGTTTCCCATTATGACAAGGAAGACACGGCGGGTGTGACCAGTCGGAAGGAGATGCTCACTCCTCCGGACTGGTCACCTTATCCCATCTCTGATGTTATGGAGGTCCGTGTTTGCTCTGCTCCTATTTTGTATTTTTTTTTTACTTTTGATGATGTATTCTGTTCGTTATCTTCATATCCTTCACAAAACCCCTATCTCTTCTCATTAAAAAGTTATGGACAACTCAATGTGTTTTTTTAAGCAGATCAAACTTCAAGGTCAGGGGGTCAAAAATCATAGTGTATTTAGAAAGGTCTTGTCACAGATAGTATACATGTATAATATGAAGCCCCATGTCTTCTCATTCGAAAAGATTTGACCAAGGTTAAAGTTTTGTGACGGACAGACTGACAGACGAATGAGATTTAATGTCTCCTCGCTTACAGCATTTGATTTGTATTTGAATTAATTCTTAAAGATTTCTAAAAGATTTAAAAATTAACACAAAAAATGATTTCAAGATCAATTTTTCTAAACTTGAATTTCAAGACTTTGTGAACAAGTTCATGATTAGGAATTAACGGAAATGGCGTGCAATCATCCGTGTAAATGTCAGCAACGAAATACTGTTTTGAACAATATCTTATCTCGTACCCATTTGCTGATATCGAAATTAACATATTCTTTTCAATATACAATACTACCTTCAAAGTTCGACATTATTATATGTATTTTTAAATCCTGTACCCGAAGAACAAGATAGTTCCTTATACTGTGACGAGTTTTGTGCTTACTGTATTAGAAAGTACATATTTTAGTAAATGATTGAGCGTGCTTGATGTCAATTAGTGGGGAAGTACATGTATTATGCACTGTGAAACTATTGTTTTTTCTGTCTTTCTTTAAATATATGTAAGCTAGCATATGACATACTATCATATTACCACGTATAATTTGAAGAAAGACATTTTTAATGGTCATTCATGTTGATTCGAAGAACTCAAAAATAAGAACAAGTTTATCTTGACAATCTTTTATGACATTTTTTATTGTTTCAGGATATATTTATAACGTTATTTTGTATCTCTTTCTTTCACACATTTATTGCTCTAAGTTAAACTGATCGAGGTTCATTTTCATAAGAAAAAAATTTCGGCTGCATGTCCAACTGCCCAGTTGATCTTTAGAATTGAGCCTGACAATGAAAACATTGTTCACCTTGGGATAGCAAAAAGCTTAATGCCATTCTTAGCCCGCATAACTGCTAACACCTGCTTTTCAACGATGTGCGTTTCATCCAATGTAAACGTAAACCTTTAAGATAATATATGAATTTAACAATAGGATTACTTAGTATTCCAAATTTTCTAGATTCACCACAAACTTCAAATAATATATCATTGTATGATAAACTGACTTTGATTTTTTTTTCAAAATAGTAAACACAAAAATGCCAACAAATGCATTAACAAGCAAACATAAAAATATATTTCAAATTCATAATGTTTTACAAGTTTACCTCTGAAGAAGCGTTGCTAAAACTATCTTTTCCTCGCTCATGGCAAAATTTTGTCCTATACAGTTTCTGTAATTTATGATTACATTTGATTCTTTCAGATACCATTTAGTCAATCATGCCAGAAAATAAAGAAAGAATACAACTATATTGAGGTATATTTACATGCAGTTTTACCTTGGACCAGCAGAAAATGGACAAAATGCAAACGAGTCTCTCTTTTCCATATTTTCTTTTGTGAATCTTTCAGGTTTAAATTTCATGTGGTCCTCTCCCCAGACTTCAGCATTGTGGTGTAAACTGTAAATATTGATGACTATCGTACTTCCAGCTGGGATGGCTTGATTATCCACAGTGATTGTAGACTGATTGTTTCTTAGAATCATAGGGACAGGTGTGTGTAGCCGCATTCCTTCTTTAATACACCGTGTAAGGTACTCCAATCTCTCTAGGTCTTTCCTGAATTGATATCAAATATTTAAATTTGTAAATGAATTACCTGAATCCATTTCTGATGGAAAGTGTAACCTTTATGAGGAACGATTATGACAAATACACAACGCAATTGTATACATGAATTCTATATTCTCTCGCAAGAACTTTGACATTTCTGTTTATACCATTCGAGTTCTCCGGACTTGGTTTCACTGACCACCCTGTCAATTTCCTCCTGACATTTCCTCTGGTGATCTGGGTGTTCTGCCAAGGAATACAGGATCCAAGAGATGGCACTAGCTGTAGTATCATGTCCTGTTAATGTGCATTAAAAAAAGCTACTATTTAATGTTTTGCAATTATTTTGTTGAAGCTTCCTGTTAAATCCAGCACATTTATTGCCCATAAATAATATTACCCATTTATAAATTTTTATTACATACTTAGTAATAAATACAGGATTTTTGCATATGCGATATGGCTGACGTCACAATAGCCGTATAAGCCCTGCAGGGCTGATATGGATTTGCGGGGCTGATATAGGTTATTAGCCCTGCAGGGCTGATACGGATCAATATCACACCCCTAATAAATTAAACCTCAAAAACAGTACTTGTGATCCTCAAAAACAGTACTTGTGATCATACACATATTTTTGGGGTTACATAATTCTCTTAATTTTAACTTTTTTGAATGTAATGATAATCTAACTGATAAATAATAAATTATTTTAAAATTACGGATTGAGGCAATCTAATTAAAATTAGATGTTCCGAATCCGCTATCACTTCTCAAACGCATTTAAGAAGAGATAGCGGATTCAGAACATCTAATTTTAATTAGATTGGGATTGAGGACATCTGAAATAGAAGTACATGCAGAAACAAAACGAAACTCACAGTACGAGATAATGGACTATGTAAATTTTAAGAAGTCCATGCATGATTATTTACTTATTTTCTTCTCAACTTAATGTGTTCTGTATTTTATTACTACACTGTAAGTATATAATAAATATAATAAAACATACCCTTTTCCACATCACATCATGTATCAGCCCTCGACCAATATCAGCCCTCGGGCCTTCGGCCCTCTGGCTGATATTGGTGTCTCGGGCTAATACAGGATGTGATATGGAAAAGGGTATGTATTATTCTGTATATAATAAACAGTTTATTATTTGGAATGAACAAGTTAACAGCAAACCTTCAAACAGGAATGTGTCCACTTCAGTGCGTATATCTTCATTTGACATACCGTTACCATCCTCATCTTTGGCAGTCAATAGAATGTCTAGAAAGTCCAGGTATTTCTTTGATGAAACTTCTTCATTTTTCTGAAACATCCAATGTATTTTTAATATCATATTTCATTCTAAATTCTGAAGACAATTTTCCCATTATAAGAAACGCCACTCACTAGAGCTTGGCGACGTTTCTCAATAACGCCCTCTGCCACATTGTGCACAAAATCACAATCTCTCTTAAATTTCTTTCCTCCTTTTGTCAAAAAATATACAAAATCTGTGTAAAGCCATGGAGAACTACAAATGAAAAGAAAATATACTTTACTTGATTAAACCCAGTATAGTATAGGCCTAGTAAATCTATCTCGAAAAAGATTTATCATAGATTTTTCGTAGGCTTAAATTACACATTATATTCAACATTACCAATTTCTACGTGTCCATTCCCATGTTAAATCATTCACAGCTTGGATATAGGGGTTTCTCTTTTGACTTGAAAAAAAAATCATAAGATAGATTGAAATAACTGTAAAATTGTTACCAAATTAGGTAAGCTTTCTAATTTTCAAATTGCAGAAAACATTCATTATAAAGCACAGTGTGTTCTTATTATTACTGTTTTTCCTTTTAATGAAAATTGATTAAGTAAGTTTTGATTCCAAACCCGATGTTTTGACAATCTGTCTCGTATGAGAAAGCACATCTGAGTATGATGTCTAAGGTACAAGAACTGACCAAGCTGAAAATCTCCACACTCTCGCCTTTGTCTGACTCAGTCGTTATGTTTCTCTAAAGGTTATAACAATTTGCAATTGTATAAATAGACTATAAATGTAAATAAATAAGAGCATACAAAATTGAGCACAACCATCCCCTTTCAGAGTTAAAATGACATTAGCTTGTTCACACATTTTTATAGGGAAGTGATGTTTTATGTTAGTACAGTAAATAAAAAGATAATTTTTTTTTTAATATTTGAAATTTTACCTATAAACATAATTAGAATTGAATATGTTTTGTACATTGCATTTTCATGTACATGTATAACGTTCTTAAAACCGCAGAGACTTTCTTTTAACTTAACACTAAAGTGCTTAAAATGAAATGTTCATCATTGTTCAAAAGTCGAACATTTTCCAAGCCATCTAAAGTTTATAAAACAAAAGACGAAGAGGCAGGAAATAACACATCAGTACACAGTCACTAGATACCATACGCCATTTCAAAAAATACAGAAAATTTGCATCTGTTTAGATAAAAAAATGAGTATTTGAATTATTGAAACAGCATACCACCAAGAGATCTGCACACGACTTGTAGATCTTGAGATATGGTTTCAAGATGTCAAAATGGAAGGCAGGGGTGAGCAGACGTCTTGAACGTTTCCATTTGGCACCCCCTGCAATCAAAAGTCCTTCTCCCAGCCACGGAATTCCATGTCTGTATACTTGGCCATATCCGACTGCCTTGGGATCTGTAAAAATACATCTTGGAATCCTCAAGCTAACGGATCTTACATATTTTTTTCCTTTATTGGGCATATGCAGTATGGATATTGGATAAAGTGTCGTTATGTGAGCTTTATGAAATATCTCGAACATTATCTTTTAAGACTTGTAAATCTTTTTCAAATATCTTTCTGAATTTTATTTTTTTTTTCATTTTAAACTCCTTTGAGCACCTTATAAAGGTACTCTTTATTAAACAAATCATTCTTGCATGAGACAAATTTTGTCGGATGATATGTGATAAGCTGACGATGAGGAGAAACGCTGTCAATATAAATGAAGAGATTTCCAATCATTCTATTTTAATGATACCTACTAATGATTTGCTATGGGCATTCTGATACCTGCTGTGACCAGTATCTTTTTCACAGACTCTGGGTGATGGACTTCCACCCACACAACAGTTGGTCCTACCCAGAGGACAAAGAGGTGGCGATATTTTCCCATCCATTCAATCATCTTATTCAGTATATACTGGTCATAAACCCCTCCTTGAAACTGAGAAATTAACGAAATAAAACAGGTTTAAAGAAAAACAAAGAATAAAGGCATTTCACTTCAAGTCGATCGATTGAAGAGATTAAGGGTTATTGATCGACTTGGTATTAAATGAATTGAATAATTGTTAATATTAATGTTTGTTTAAATACAGATTTGTTTTATTTGGTAAACTATACATTTTAACAATTGTAGAATTATATAATGGTAGTACGGCAAAGGAAGTGCTATGGAGTTATTCCAATACCATTTCTACGTCAGTCTGGATAGCTTGGTGTGTAGTACCCTGATATAGTGTATTAGGATCGACACAAAACATTGCCATAATGATTCTTTTCCTTATTTTAAATAATGAAAGTAGAACTTAAAAATCATCTTTAAAGAATTTAAAAACCAGCTAGATCGAGAGATATCTTGATCATAATATTAAAACTATGTTCTCCACAAGATTGCACATATCCCTTCCCATATATAATGAGGCACTTAAATAAACAAATAACATCGCAAGCGAATATCAAACTATACCTACATGAGGTAAATGTCCGAGTATCCAGTATTTGTCGTAAGTAGGTTCGGGAAGACCTCGGTATGCATACTTTAACTTGATGTATTTGATAAAGAGCTGTGTTATTACGACCACCACAAAAGTAATGAGAGCTATCGCTAGGATTCCAGCCATGTCTGATTCCTCCCAAACATACAGAACCGAGGTTTATAAATACAGGACACCTAGATTTAGGTTATAAAGGGGTGTAAGGTCAGTTCTCTCTAAACCGTTTCTCTCCCAGGTTATTATACCCCAGCCTGAAAAGTGGGAGCGTACATATTAATTGTGATGTGACTTGTCCGTCCGTCCGTCTGTTACGCTTTGGGGTACCAATCTCTTATCCTTTACTCCTCTCATACCATTGAATAAAATTTCATGAAACTTTCACAGAATCTTTATTACATATTACCATTGCGCACCTCCTTTTTTTTTACTTTTTTACTCGACACATATTTTGGGTTTCCCATAGCAAAACATGGACACTGCCATTATATTCGTATGGAAGGCAGGGGGCATCATACAGTGAGCTAATTGCTCACAGTACTTTTAGTTTCTTTAACGTAACATTTCTCGGTTGGTCATTTCACTCTCCTACCATAGTCATTTCACTCCATTTTTATCTGGTCTAATCAAATCATTTACAATTCAATTCTTGTGTTATCAAATATAATCTGGTCGATTCAATTATCTTAATTAATTTATTATACTTATAAAAACTGAACAGGAGAAACTCTTCCGTCATCTTTTTTTTTACAGGATAAAATGATTTAGAATAAAACAATAAGATTATACCGTTACCAAGCCCTTGCCAAGTGGCAGTTTTCTTTTCATTACGGGCTATAATTTCAAAAGAAGTAGTCAGATCTAAAGTTAATAACTTTTAAATGGCCAAACTTTACCTAAGCCGATATGAAATTTTGTTTTTGAGACGGGATTTTTTTTAAACTTTACAAAGTAATAAAACAAAGGAAAAAGTTCTGTGAACATTTTTTTAATTTTATCTATTGATTTTATAACAATGACACATGTACATGTATGTACGTACTAGAAAAAATAACAGTCAAAAGTCTGTGTGTGTACATTTATTATATTCTGCCTACTTTTTTATTCTTTGTTATTTTTGTAACTTATAAACTGTAGGATTGTCCCAGAAAAACGCAAAAATTTAAAATATCTTGTTTCACTTAGACTATTCCCTGCGAGACGATCATGAATAATTCATGAATTTCCTTGAATTTTTCATGAATTTTATTAATGAAATGTTCATGAAGATCCTATGAACTTATTATTGGACATTTTCAAATCATGAATTTTTATTCATGAAACAAAAAAGATGAATATTCATGAATATTATTTTTTCATGAATAATTCATGAAGAGTCATATTCATGAAGATTCATCATTTCAAGAATGTCCAATATTAAGTTAATTGTATCTTCATGAACTGTTCATGAATAATTTGATGAATTTTTTCAATTTGAATGAATAAAATTCATGAACCATTAGCATTCATGAATATTCTTGCTTATTGTGTAAACAAAAAATGCAATATTATTATTCATGTTTATTCACAAAATGCATGAAGTCATGCTAAAAAAGTAACAGTAGATGATTTATAATACAGCATCTTGAAAGATTTCACAGAAATGTTGTTTTTTTTTCCAACCATGGCAACAAAATCTTTGTTAAAAAACTTAAAATAGACAATTCTGACATAATAAACCATAGTAAATGAGTAATGTAGTTCATTCCTGATAAAAGTATAAAAAAAAATTCAATTCAAACGCAACTCTTTGCACAATGTTTAACCTTACTTGGTCAAGAGGAGAGGGGGGTCCTTCCTAGCTCAGCATGTTTCAAAGTGTGTTTTAATGCCAGAAATTGAACAGTTTTTAATTCCAGTCTAGGAGAAAAGTTTGTTCCGCACGGCAGGGTAACAGTTTTAAGTGCTTTCAAGCAGTTCGAGCAGAAATGGTCAATTCAAAAATCCTTATTGTCTCTCGATGTGGAATTTCCAGAATTTCATCATTTTGATCCTTTGATTGAATGTCATTCATACTTTCATTTCTTTTTTTCTTTCTTTTTCAAGAGCTCAGATTTTTTGCAGCCAGAGATTCTTGTCTTCTGCTCATCAACATTTGTGAACTGCATGCTTCTCTTTTTTCCTTCAAAACGAAAGATTTTCTGAAAATACCCATGATTGTAAAACATAAGACTTTTCTGCATTTTCTTGCATTTTAGTTTCATTTAATTTTGCATCAGAGGCACTTCCAAATTAAAACATTCTGAGTGGAATTTAAGCCTATTTTCTTGGACCGCCATTTTGTAGATCAATCAGGCCTATGAATGTTTTGAGTCTCAGTCTATAATTAATGCAAGTTATATGGTTGGATCCAAACTCAAAGCAAAGTGAGATAAAACTTTCATTAAAAAAAGACATATTAATTTATTTTACAAATAATAGACAGTAACATTTACAGACAGATTTATATTATATTGCCTCCATTTTTTGTCACTCACCAGTTATGAAGTAGATGCGATCCTATAATATCTTCCTTCTTCATATTCTGTTATTTTCTTTAAAAGTTGACAAAGATCAGTGACTATGCAAATTATAGATCACAAATACTGATCCTTCCACTCTACAAATTCCCACTTCCAACATCTCGCGCGTTTTTAAGTTTGCGCCTATTCAAAAATGTACGGTAATTTGTTAAGAAATACGTCAGACAGTTTCGAATTTCCAAGATTTCTGTTTAAAAAAAATAACAAACACTATCTGAATAATTTTTCACTGAAAATACAATTTTTTAAATCAAAATATGTTTTATCAATGAAGAATTCGAACGTTTTTACGTCATTAATTATACATGTATTGACTTTAGTTTCGTATAGCAAGTATGGCGGCCCCCATTAACAGAGGACATATGACATGATAATAACAATCTCTCGCCCTCAGACTGAATATTCTGAGCTGTAAAATAGGAAATTAAAACTACAAAATACGAATGTGGATTATGCCATAGACACTTTACAATCATGCAGTCTGTGCTCTATCATATACACACGAAGCAAGGAAAACTTTTGACATTTTATTTTTAACTGCATCAAAATTAAAATGTATATAGCATGACACATGAATAATATGGTACAGTACAGACAAGCAATATAATTTTTTAGTTGTTAATAAATATATAAACACCCATTCTCAATATAAGGGCTCAAATGATGTCGCCTCATTTTCATTTAAAAGAAATACCACTGATGTAATTTTTAAATCAACATTATAAATAGTCATATAACAATGAATAAGAATTCATATAATTATCGATCTGAAAGGGTATTTAAGGAGTTCCAAATTCAAATATAGTAGCCTATTTGAAATGTACGTTACTGTCGCCGAGGCAAATATTATTCGGAATCCCCTCTGTGTAATATATAGTTTTGATTCTCAAGTAAAAATTTTCTGATAAGTTAAACTTTGTATCATATATATTTCTTTTCATAACAATAAATACATTTTCTTTGTGATAATAAATAATTTTTATTGTGCAATGTCCCTGTCGCTTAATTCTATTTCAACCACAATAAAAGCAAACACAAAGATTATACACCGGATAGTTTTTTTCTCCTTTATTTATTGATGGGCAAAAATTTCAAAGGATTAATTACTTACTTAGATAATGTAACATGAAATTGAACAACTTGAGCAACTTTTATAAATATGTTTACGGAGTGAAAGACATTTTCAATCGTAAGATAAGAAAGAAATGTACGTTACCTATATTCTTCCATTAAGAAAACATATTAAGTAGAAAATATGAGACGACTCTGAATAAGCAACCCCTTGTATCCTGTAAACTGGCAAAGACGTTTTGCTTAACACAATTAAAAATTATTCTTTACATGAAAAGTGATCATTTGAAATGTACGTGACTGAAATGTACGTTACCATGAAATTCGAATTAAGTGAATCTCGCACGAATTTTCATGTATTCTAATACTTTCACACACTCGAATGTTTACACAAAGGAAAAGTTTTAAAGGTTGGAGGTCGGCTAAATCCCAAAATTAATCAAAATAAACGTCTCTGCTGAGGAAAAAAATATATTAAGGTCAATTATTATGTAATATAATTTTGATGCCTGGTATATATTACTGAATACGAAACCTGTATGATGCATTTCTTATGATATGCAGGTTCAAATAGTATCAATATATTGCGCGTCTAACGTATGCTTGTGGAAGAGAATTGATTTTTATATTTGAAATGTACGTTACGTATGGTAACGTACATTTTATGTATTTCTAACTGACATTTTTTTTAATTTAGTCAATGAATTGCGTTTACACGAGCGAAACAAAATTATCATTACAATCCATTTGACAACTGGCCACATCTAAATGCACCCCAATCCTCGTAAATGTATTAAACTGTTACCACATGCTAGAAAATTTATTTCTAAGTGTCTTAAATTCATCTTTGGCAACCTTTTTGCAGTTTGTTTACTTTTAATATGCGACTTTTCGTCAATATTAATTTAATTGTTGTTGATAATTTAAAACAAGGTATGCATAGGCTTATAATTGGTAAAAAAAAAAACAAAACAAAACAAAAAAAAAAAGAAAAAAAAAGAAACAAAACAAATAAACCCAGAACACATTACGGTCACGTACATTTCAAATACTGAATACTCAGTTTTGATTGAATCATTTTTTGGGTTATATTTTTCTAGATCTGCTGATAAAGCACGTATGTTTGTGTTTTGAAAAACGATGTTGCAACATACTAAATGAAATTGTTAACAAGACTGTCGATGGATATATTCGGAATAGATTTATGTTAAGTTTCAATGGCCAAACACGAACATTTGTTAGACCATAGCAAAATACATCTGACTCTTATATTTTTTTGTCTGTAACCTTGCACACAGTTAGAAGTAACTAGGCTACGACCGGTGTCAATTTCAGCGAAACAGCACAAAAGAATGGTTATGAACTTGAGGTGGAGGGGACTTCCCAATAATATGTGAAATGAACGTTACCGAAGTGACGTGACAGTCATGTTTTGATGACAATAACCTCGTTTGTTACATTATGATTTCTATATTACTCCTTAAAAGGCTTCATTGATATGATTTTTATGTC